TCCAAACTGATATACAGATTCAGTGCAAACCTTGTCAAAATCTCAGTGATATTTTTTGCAGAAATGAAAAAATCCACCTTACAATTCAGTATGTCCTATCAAGGTACCTCCAGGTAGCCAAACCCATGTTGAAAAAGAGTAACCAATTTAGAAAACTCATAAAACTTACTGCAAAGCTACAACAATAAAAACAGTTTGGTACTGGCGTAAAATAAACACAGATATATAAACCCACAGAATGGAATTAAGAGTCCAGTAACATATCCTTGCATACATGGTCAAATAATTTTTGACAGGGGTGCCAAGACCTTCAGTGGGGATGAAAGGGCAGTCTTTTCAATAAATGGTGCTGGGAAAAAAGATTATCTATGTACAAAAGAATGAAGTTGGACCCTTACCTAACATTGTCTACGGAAATTAACTCAGTAGGTCAAAGACCTAAATTTAAAAGCCAAAAGTATAAAATTCTTCGAAGAAAACGTAAGGCAAAGCTTCTAAATTTGGATTTGGCAATGATTTGTTGGATATGACACTGAAGGCACAGGCATCAAAAAAAGAAATAGACAAATTGGATTTCCTGAAAATTAAAAACTGTGCACCAAAGGACAGTATCAACCATGAAAAGACTACTTACAGAATGTGAGACAATACTGGCAAATTGTATGTCTGATAATGGGTTGATGTTCAGAATATACAGAGAATTCTTAAAACTCAGCAACTACAAAAACCTGATACACAACTGAGCAAAGGACTTGAGTAGACATTTCTCAAAGAATATATATAGATGGCTCATAAGCATATGAAAAGATGCTAAATATCACAAATCATTAGGGAAATGCAAATCAAAACCATAATGAAATATCACCTCACACCTAGTCAGATGGCTACTATTAAAAAAAAAAAAAAAACAAAATAACTTGGTGAGGATGTAGAGAAATTCGAACCCTTCTGGGCTGTTGGTGGGAATGTAAAGTAGCTGCTGTGAAAAGCAGTATTGTGGTATGTTAAAAAATAGAATTACTATATGATCCAGCAATTCTATTTCTGAGTTATATACCCAGAGGAGTTGAAAGTAGGGCCTCCAAGAAATATTGTATACCCATATTCATAGCATTATTTACAATAGCTAAAGCCTGGAAACAACCCAAGTGTCCATAATGTGTGAATGGCCAAACAAAATGTGATGTATACATACAATGGAATATTATTTAGTTTTAGAAAGGAAGGAAATTCTGACTCATGTTACAATGTAGATGAATCTTGAGGACATGATGCCAATTGCAAAAATGCAAGTACTGTATGCTTCCATTTATGTGAAGTACCTAGAGCATTCAAAAATCATAGAGATAGAAAGTAGAATGATGGTTTCTAGGGGTTGGGGAGAAGGGCAATGGAGAAATACTGTGTAAAATGTATAGTTTCAGTTTTGTAAAATGAAGAGTTCTAGAGATGGATGTTGGTGATGGGTGCATAACAATATGAATGTGTTTAATATAAGCACTTTATAATTAAAGTGGTTAATAATCACTTTATACTTAAAAATGGTTAAGATGGTAAATTGTATGTTACTTGTATTTTGCCACAATAAAAAATCGTTTTAAAAACATGATTGTAACTAAGGCATATTAAAAAATGAACTCACGGGGATCCCTGGGTGGCCAGTGGTTTGGCGTCTGCCTTTGGCCCAGGGCGTGGTCCTGGAGTCCCGGGGTCGAGTCCCACATCGGGCTCCCGGCATGGAGCCTGCTTCTCCCTCCTCCTGTGTCTGCCTCTCTCTCTCTCTCTCTCTCTCTCTCTCTCTCTCTTTTTCTCTCTCTGTCTCTCTCTATGTCTATCATAAATAAATAAATCTTTAAAAAAAATTGAACTCAATACCCATTTTGGTTCCTACTAGCTCGTAGGTACTATAGTGCATTCTGGGAATAAAGATATTGAAGATGAATGTGCTTGGAAACAAATAATTATACTACTGTGTGATAATAAGAGAGATAAGTTAATTTTGTGAGAGGGGAGGGTTCATAGGAGAGGAGTTGCCTGAGCTGAATTATAAAGGATGTCTATTCTAAGCCAACAAGGTGATGAATAAGAGCATTGAAGTCCGAGGTCAAATAAATTGTGCATGAACATAGGGTTTCAAATAAGTTGGTAAGGTAGGGTTTTATATGTGAGACCACAATGGCAGCAGATGTGGTCTACAGAAGTAGGCTTTATTTAAATGAAGTTTGTTCTGTATATAGTAGAGTTACATTAAAGAGTTTTAAACTAAACTAAAAAGTGTGTGTGTGTGTGTGTGTGTGTGTGTGTGTGTGTGTGTGTGTGTGTGAGTGAAGAATAGGTTGGGGTAAGATAAAGTGGAGGCAGAGGTAAGCAATGGCAATAAGCTAGGTGAGTGAGAATCAAGGCCTAAATGAGTGGTAGAACCGGAGAAGAGAGAGGAGATCTGATCTTAAATTCAGTAGTAACAGCCATAGAATTTGGTTCTTTTATGTATTGTGGCTCAGGAACAGAAGTAGGTGAGTATGACTTACAGATAGGATTTTGATATGGTCTGTGGTTCTATCAGCTGAGCTAGGGAGGATTAGAATGAGAGCAGATTTTGCAGAGTTCACAGAAAAGGGGATAAGAGGGTAGAAAGAACCAAGATCAGTTTTAGATTTAATTTGAGGCCCCTGCACAAATCAGATAACTTTATTGAGGTCAGCTGTAATATTGTCCCTCAACTCTCATTTGGTGCCAGCATCAGAGTCATAACAATGAACTTTTAAAATTAGTTTTATTTGAAATACTTAAGATGGATTCAGAACTAAGCAACAAAACCTATTAAGATCCTTGTGCAGCTGAGGTTTTATATTTGGAAGAAAAATGAAATAAATTTGTTATTTTCTAGTGTATATATGTTCCAAATTCTTTATTTCTCATGTATATCTTTTTGACACACACACACACACACACACACACACATATATATTAGAGGTTTTTCTTAGTTTTTTTTCCCCACATAATTTGTTGAATAGGACCTGCATAACAGTGTTTCAGTAAGTTTTCTAACAGCTATAAATATGTGGTACATTTCATAAATAGTTCCTGTTTTTATTCAGTGTTAGTGGAGTTGATGTTCCTTTTAACAGAAGAACCACTTAGATTGGCTTAAAAATTGTAACAAAACATCTAAATTGAAGGGTAGGAAGAGCTTAAATCTAAGATTCTGAAACATACTACTGGAGAGATTGATCTGTCTCTCACACACATGTACATATAAACATAGAATTTTCTTTTGTAAAAAAACTTGTTTCTCTGGGTTGTTTAAATACAGTGCTACTCAAAGGCACATGAGTTGAATCTTAAATCTTTGATGTCGTAGTGTGCCAGTTCCCTTGATGCTCAAGTTGACAGGTAACAAAACCTCCTGCTTTGGCTTAGCTAGGTTATTAGGAAGAAGTACTGCTGAGTCATAGTTTCCTACCTTTTCTTTCTTTCCTTTTTTTTTTTTTTTTTTTTTTTTTTAAGATTTTATTTACTTATTCATGAAAGAGACAGAGAGAGGCAGAGACACAGGCAGAGGGAGAAGCAGGCTCCATGCAGAGAGCCAGATGCGGGACTCGGGACTCAATTCCGGGACTCCAGGATCACGCCCTGGGCTGATGGCAGGCGCTAAACCACTGAGCCAGCCAGGGATCCCCAGTTTCCTACCTTTTCAAGGATGGTTGTCAAATTGCTGTGGACTCCTAGAAGAGCGGTTTTACTTTAACTATCTGTCTGAGAAAATATTTTGAATTCAGCAGTTTTGAATGAACTGTTGTTTTGTTTTTAATTTACATCTGTGAAAAGTAGTTCACATAATCCTGAGTACTATACGGATTTCAAACCACTTGCTAAAACTAGAGTCCACAAGGGGTAGGACTGTGGGTTGGGAACCAGTGTTCTAGAGAAAGGCTTAAAACATGCTTACTTCTGGTGTTAAAATTTGAGATGTAGTTTGGAATATAGTATCCTTATAATATCCATCTCTGTATCTAGCAAAGTAATGGGACTTTTTTTTTTTTGATGTGCACTACATATATTATCTTCATGGTGCACTACAGGCATTTTATATCTCCCTTTAAAAAGTAGTTTCCTACAGGGGTGCCTGTATGGCTTAGTTAAGCATTGGACTCTTGATTTCAGCCCAGGTCATATCTCAGGGTTGTGAGATTAAGCCCTACACTGGGCTCTGCAGAGTCAACTTGGGATTCTCTCTCCCCCTTCTGCATCCTTTGCCCCTGCTCACACACATACACTCTTAAAAAAAAAAAAAAAGTTTCTTACACTTTAAAAAACTTTAAGCAATTGAGTCTTTCTTTACTTCTCATCTCCAAAAATAGACCTATTATAAAAGGTAAGGCATACTTGCTGGATTCTCATACTTGCTGGATTCTTCTGAAATAGTTTTGGAATTTCAGATATATGAAGTTATGCTGATTTGTGTTTCATTTTTAGCTTTTAAGGTATACTTAATTTTTTTTGTTCTTGAATATACAGAAAAGTATATGCTCACCAGCTAGATATCACCAATGTTAATATGTTATATTTCTCTCAAAGTTCATTGAGATCATAGTTGGCATCCTTTCTTTTTTTTTTTGTAGTCATTCAACTAATGTTTATATAATTTTTATGTCATTAGAAAGCCTTTGTAAAATTGTTCAAATATAAAAATATATATAGTTGCGTCATAATTTAACGTTTTCCTAGCATTGACTTACCATCATTCCTGGTAAATTAGGAGTAATGAAAGATCAGACTACTTCTGATATAAGTATTGGTCCAGTATATATGTGACATAGTGTATTGTTCCAGGTTCATCATTTATCTTTGGAGTTAATCACTATTCAAGTGAATTTCTAGTGGGCTCCATATTGTGTTTTCTCTTCTCACATTAATTTGGTTCTTGATGAATTATAGCTTCAGGTCTTATTTTTCTTTCTTATTCACTCACTAATTCATATTTAAATGCTGATGTTTAGGATAAAGATGGAGATAGAGCCGTTCACCATGCAGCTTTTGGAGATGAAGGTGCTGTTATAGAAGTACTGCACCGGGGCAGTGCTGACTTGAATGCTCGCAACAAGCGGCGACAGACGCCACTTCATATTGCTGTCAATAAAGGCCATCTTCAGGTTGTGAAGACTTTATTGGACTTTGGCTGTCATCCTAGTCTCCAGGTAAAATGACGTATATTCTGCTGGTGTTGCTAGGATTCTGTTAAAGGGAAATATTGAGTTCTATGGTAAGCATTCCTTTGTTATCCACATGTTTTTGTTTGATTAGCCATTGTAAATGATACCAAAGGCATAGACTGTGATAAAATTGGCAGCTATTCTTCTTAGAAAAGCCTTTAAAAAAAAAAAAAAAGCCTTTTTAAGGAAAATGTGAGTGGATTGGTTTTATACTGGAGGGTGGGGATAGAGACTTCCTTGCAGAAATACCAGCTTGAATTAATTTGATTCAACTTTACTGATCATGACAGTGAGCTTCAGCAGCTTAAGGAAGTATAATGGGCTGCATTTCATGATAGTTATTTTATAATTATCTAAATTATTTTAATTGTAGCCTAATTTATCTTAGAGTCTTGATCTAGTCATTAGGAAGATTTTCTGTTTTGGAAAATATATAGGATTGAAGAGTTGATTTTCAGTAGGACCTATTTTTAAAATTTTTTTAAAAATTTAAGTTCAATTAATTAACATATTATCTATTCTTAATTTCAGAGGTGGAGGTCAGTGATTTATCAGTCTTATGTAATAACCAGTGCTCTTTACATCACATACCCTCCTTAAGGTCCATCACCTAGTTACCCCATCCCTTTTTAACCCTCAGTTTGTTTCCTATGATTAGGAATCTCTTATGGTTTGTCTTCCTGTCTGATTTCATCTTGTTTTATTTTTTCTTCTCTTTCTATATGATACTTTATTTTGTAAATTCCACATGTGAAAAAGTTTATATGATAATTGTCTTACCTGATTGATGTTTTCACTTAGCATAATACCCTCTAGTTCTATTCAGGTTGTTTCGAGTGGCAAGATATCATTCTTTTTGATGGTTGAGTAATATTCCATATTTTGTGTGTGTGTGTGTGTGTGTGTGTGTATTACATCTTCTTTATTCATCTGTTGATTGACTCCTAGCTATTTCCATAGTTTGGCTATTATAGACATTGCTGTTAAAAAACGTTGGGTATAGGTGCCCCTTTGGATCACTATGTTTGCATTCTTTGGATAGATACCTAGTAGTGCACTTGCTGGGTCATAGTGTAGCTCTATTTTCAACTTTTTGAGGAACCTCCATACTGTTTTCCAGAGTGGCTGCACCAACTTGCATTTCTACCAGTAGTGTAAGAGGCTTCCCCTTTCTCTGCATCCTTGCCAACAACTGTTGTTTCCTGACTTGTTCATTTTAGTCGACTGGTGTGGGGTGGCATCTCATTGTGGTTTTGATTTGTATTTTCCTGATGCTGGGTGATGTTGAGCATTTTTTCATGTGTCCTTTGGTATTTGTATGTCTTCTTTGGAGAAATCTGTTCATGTCTTCTGCCCATTTCTGATTAAAATTGTTTTTTGGATGTTGAGTTTGATGAGTTCTTTATAGATTTTGGATACTAGCCCTTTTCTGATAAGACATTAATAAATATCTTCTATTCTCTCGATTGTCTTTTGGTTTTGTCTACTGTTTCCTTTGCTGTTCAAAAGCTTTTTATCTTGATGAAGTCCTAATAGTTCATTCTTACCTTTGTTTCCCTTATCTTTGGAACTTGTCTAGCTAGAAGTTGCTGTGATGAAGGTCACAGAGGTTGCTGCCTGTGTTTTCCTCTAGAATTTTGATGGGTTCCTGTCTCACATTTATATCTTTCATCTATTTTGAGTCTATTTTTGTGTATGGTTTGAGGAAATGGTCCAGTGTCATTCTTCTGCATGTGACTGTCCAATTTTCTCAACACCGTTTGTTGAAGAGACTTGTTTTGTTTTGTTTTTTTTCCATTGGCTGTTCTTTCCTGCTTTGTCGAAGATGAATTGACCATAGAGTTGAGGGTCCATTTCCGGGTTCTCCATTCTGTTTCATTGATCTATGTCTATTTTTGTGCCAATACCTTGCTGTCTTGATGATTTCAGCTTTGTAGTAGAGCTTCAAGTCTGGCATTGTGATGTCACTAGTTTTAGTTTTCAATACTCCTTTGGCTATTTGGGTTCTTTTCTGGTTCCATACAAATTTTAGGGTTATTTGTTCAAGCTCTGTGAAAAAAATTGGTATTTTGATAGGAATTGCATTGAATGTATAGGTTGCTCCAGGTAACATAGACATTTTAACAATATTTGTTCTTCCAGTCCATGAGTGTGGAATGTTTTTCCATTTCTTTGTGTATTCCTCAGTTTATTTCATGTATGTTCTATAGTTTTCTGAGTATAGATTATTTGCTTCTTTGGTTAGGTTATTCCTAGGTATCTTATGGTTTGGGGTGCAATTGCAAATGGAATTGGCTCCTTAACTTCTCTTTCTTCTGTCTCATCATTACTGTATAGAAATGGAACTGATTTCTGTGCATTGATTTTGTAACCTGCAACTTTGCTGAATTTCTGCATGAGTTCTAGCAATTTTGAGGTGGAGTCTTTTGGGTTTTCCCCATAGAATATTATGTCATCTGTGAAGAGTGTGAGTTTGACTTTTTCTTTGCCAGTTGACATGTCTTTTATTCCTTTTTGTTGTCTGGTTGCTGAGGCTAGGACTTCTAGTACTATGTTGAACGGCAGTGGTAATAATGGACATCCCTTTTATGTTCCTGACCTTAGGGGAACAGCTCTCAGTTTTTCCCCATTGAGAATAATGTTCACTATGGGCTTTTCATATATGGCTTTTATGATACCGAGATATGTTCCCTCTGTCTCTTCACTGTGAAGAGTTTTAACCAAGAAAGGATGCTGTACTTCGTCACATGCTTTTTCTGCAGCTATTGAGAAGATCATATGGTTCTTATTCTTTCTTTTATTAAAAAAAGTGTATCACATTGATTTATTTGTGGATTTTAAGCCACCCTTGCAGCTAAGGAATAAATCCCATTTGGTCATGGTGAATAATCTTTTTAATGTACCGTTAGATCCTATTGGCTAGTATTTTGGGGAGAATTTTTGCATCCATGTTCATCAGGAATATTGGTCTGTAATTCTTTTTGGTGAGATCTTTATCTGGTTTTGGGATCAAGTAATGCTGGCCTCATAGAAAGAGTTTGGAAGTTTTCCATCCATTTCTATTTTTTGAAACAGCTTCAGAAACATAACAATTCTTTAATGTTTGGTAGAATTCCCCTGGGAAGCCATCCGGCCCTAGACTCTTGTTTGTTGGGAGATTTTTGATTACTGCATCAACTTCCTTCCTGATTATGGGTCAGTTCAGGTTTTCTATTTCTTCCTGTTCCAGTTTTGGCAGTTTATAGGTCTCTAGGATGCATCCATTTCTTCCAGATTGCCAAATTTGTTGGCGTACCGTTGCTCATAATACGTTCTTATAATTGTTTGTATTTCTTTGGTGTTGGTTGTGATCTCTTTCATTCATGATTTTATTTATTTGGATCCTTTCTCTTTTCTTTTTGGTAAGTCTGGCCAGTGTTTTATTGATCTTATTCTTTCAGAGAACCAGTTCCTAGTTTCGTTTATCTGTTCTACTGTTCTGTCAGTTTCTATTTCATTGAGTTCTGCTCTAATCTTTAATTCTCTTCTCTTGCTGAGTTTATGCTTTGTTTGCTGTTCTTTCCCCAGCTCCTTTAGGTGTAAGGTTAGGTTGTGTATATGAAACCTTTCTTTTTTTCTTGAGAGAGGCTTGTATTAATGTATACTTTCCTCTTAGGACCATCTTTGCTGGATCTCAAAGGTTTTGAACAGTTCTGTTTTCATTTTCATTTGTTTCTATGAATTTAAAAAATTCTTTAATTTCCTGGTTGACCCATTCATTCTTCAGTAGGATGTTCTTTAGTTTCCATGTATTTGAGTTCTTTCTAAATTTCCTCTTGTGATTGAGTTCCAGTTTCAAAGCCTTATGATATGAAAATATGCAGGAAATGATCCCAGTCTTTTGTTACTGGTTGAGACCTGACTTGTGATCTAGGATGTGATCTATTCTGGAAAGTGTTCCATGTGCACTCGGGAAGGATGTGTATTCTGCTTTAGGATGAAATGCTCTGAATATATCTCTGAACTTCATCTAGTCCAGTGTGTCATTCAAAGCCCTTGTTTCCTTGTTGAATTTCTGTTTAGATGATCTGTCCACTGCAGTGAATGGGGTGTTAAAGTCTCATACTATTGTTGTATTATTATCAATGTGTTTCTTTAGTTTTGTTATTAATTGGTTTATATAATTGGCTGCTCCCATGTGAGGGACATAAATATTTACAATTGTTAGATCTTCTTGTTAGATAAACCCTTTAACGATGTCCTTATCTCTTATTAGTCTTTGGTTTAAAATCTCATTTTTCTGATTTAACAATTGCCACCACAGTTTTTTTTTTTATGTCTATTAGCATGATAAATGGTTTTCTGCTTCCTCACTTTCAATCTGGAGATGTCTTTGGATCTAAAATAAGTCTCTTGCAGATAGCATATCTATGGGTCTTGCTTTTTAATCCAATCTTATGGCCTGTGCCTTTTGATTGAGGCGTTTACTCCATTTATATTCAGAGTAATTATTGAAAGAGATGAAATCATTTAGGGCCATCGTATTACCTGTAAAGTCACTGCTTCTGTATATTGTCTCTGTTGCTTTCTGGTCTTTGTTACTTTTGAGGGCTCTCTTCGTTTAAAGGATCCCTTTTAATATATCTTGCAGGGCTGGTTTAGTGATCACAAATTTTTTTAGTTGCTGTTTGTCCCAAAAGCTTTTTATCTCTCCTATTTTGAATGATATCCTAGCTGGATAAAGTATTCTTGGCTACATGTTTTTTCATTTAGCACCCGAATATATCATGCCAGTCTTTTCTGGCCTGCCAAGTCTCTGTGGATAAGTCTTCTGCCAGTCTAATGTTTCTATCCTTGTAGGTTATGGACCTCTTGTCTTGAACTGCTTTCAGGATTTTCTCTTTATTTCTGAGATTTGCAAGTTTCACTATGGTTGTTGACCTATTTTTATTGATTTTAAAGGAGGTTCTCTGTGCCTCCTGGACTTGAATGCCTCTTTCCTTCCTCAGATTAGGGAACTTCTCCACTATAATTTGCTTCAGTATACCTTCTGCCTCCCCTTTCCTCTTCTTTTGGGATCCCAATTATTCTAATGTTATGTTGGTTTATGGTATCACTTATCTCTCAAATTCTGTACCGATTCTGTTTCTGTCCATCCCATTCATCCTGTGTTTGTCTCCCACCCCCCATCCTCACCCCCACCCTAGTGCAGTTGTATTGCCCTTGATAGGGATCCAGGCTAAGTTATGTGCTCTGATTGCTCTAGGTGGCTTTTGTACCCTGAAGGCTTTCCCCATCACTTTATTTTTTTTTTTAAAGATTTATTTATTTATTTATTTATGATAGACCTGGATATATATAGAGAGAGGCAGAGACACAGGCAGAGGGAGAAGCAGGCTCCATGCCGGGAGCCCAACGTGGGACTCGGTCCCAGGACTCCAGGATTGCGCCCTGGGCCAAAGGCAGGCACTAAACCGCTGAGCCACTGAGCCACCCAGGGATCCCCTCCCCATCACTTTAGAAGATAAGAATGAAAATGGGCCTTCCAGTCTCCAGCCTTGGAGCCCAGAGCTCCCAGCCCCACTCCTCATTGTGCCCTCAAGGAAAAGCAGCCAATCACTCCTGTCTGTTTGGTCTCTGGCCAAACTGTTCACCCAGCCTGTGACTGAGAGTTTCTATCTCAGGCATATGACCCTGTTTTGAGTCTCCAAACCCTGCAGACTTCTGTAGGAGGTTCTCATGGAGGTTCTGCTGCTTGCTGGGTCCCTCCTCAGGAAATGGTTGCCTGACTGTTCTGTGGTTCGTGGTTTATGGCATCCCCGAGCTAAGATCTGACTCCTGGGGTCTCTGATGTCAGCTGGCTTCTCCGCTCTGATGCCTGGGAAACTCTTCTGCACTCAGGCACCTCCAGTCTTCCTGTGACCCTGATGATCCTGAGACCACAGTGTCCCACCTAGGATTCCATCCTTTGCCACCTAAACACCTTTCAGGCCAGGACATCCCTCACTGGAGCAGACATCTAGATGTTCTCATTTTGTGCTGTTATATCACTTTCCGATGCTGGCTGCCAAGATAGACCACCGAGGTCTATATATAAGCGATATATGTCTTCCCATATATCGCCTTGGATTTACCTCCTACCTTGAAGAAAGTGGTCGATTTACTATTTGTAGAGTTGCAGCTATTCTTTTCTTAGATCTCTGGTTGAGTTGGCAAGTGTTCAGAATAATTTGATAGGTGTCTATCTGAATTCCTGGAACCTGAGGAAGCTAAGGTCTCCTATTCCTCTCCTGTCTTGGACTCCTCCACCTTCTTGGACTCCTCTAGTAATACCTAATTTTTGAGGCGAGAGTCATCTAAGAGATAATTCCTATCCACAGTCTTAGCAACCAGATGAATTAGATTGGATTGGTATCAGAGAAGCAATGAAGAAATAAAATAGGAGCAATAGGACTGAGGATTTGAGAACTGAAAGAATTGGAGATTTTGTTCAGCTAGATGGTTATCGGAGATTGATATTTCTGAGGTACAGCATTTTGGAACTGGCATGGTTTAGAATTTAAAGCCTCTAAGTGGATTATAGAATTGGAGGGTGGAGGAGGAATTAGAGGGTGTTAATCTGTTGAAGGAGAGAGAATTTATACCTGTTGATTGTTTTTGGTCTGAAATGGGAAATAGTCATTTGTTCAGAGTGAATGTGGAGTAGTAAGTCTACAAAAGATCATTAAGAAGAGTGATAAATGTTTGGAATAGCTACCGTGGGGACAAGAAGGAAGGACAGATCAGGGCTTATAGAAGCTTATTCCAGCCATATTAAGAGCCTATCTCAAGTTGAAGACTGAATTTTTAGTGACATTAGACAGACTTGAGAGTGCCTGATTGGATTGAATTTGGGTTAGGAATTTGTTATGAGGGCCCTGGAATCATGACTCGAACCAAAGGCAGATGCTTAACTGAGCCACCCAGGTGCCCCATCCCCTACAGATTCTAAATGTGCAGCCAAGGTTGAAAACTATTGATTTTTAATTCATTGCTCTATGGCCCCAAGACTGGTATAGTTTTGTTTTGAAATTTTAGGGCATAACAGTTCTAATAGGAATATGGTGTAGTAGGAATGAATTTTGGGGGCAGCTTTTTTCACTTCATTAATTTTTGTAATTAGCTAAATCATATTTGAGCACGTTTTGAATTTTATTTTTCCTTTTCTTTGGTAGGCTACATGTTTATTGTGTTCTAGACTGAGTATGAGTTTATTTACTATAATGAGGCTAACATTTCTTGCCTGCATCTTACAATTTAAGACGGGATGTTTTATTGAAGGTTTTTGGATATGGCTTCTGTTTAGTAGTTAAGTATATATCTTCTGTTTAGTAGTTAAGTATATATATATATATATTATATATATATATATATTAATATTGCATGTGATGTTTGGTGCAAGAACTAATGAATGTCTCTTCAAATTAAAAAAAGGATTCTGAAGGGGATACTCCTCTTCATGATGCAATAAGTAAGAAACGTGATGACATTCTGGCAGTTCTTCTAGAAGCTGGAGCAGATGTTACCATTACAAACAATAATGGATTTAATGCTCTACACCATGCTGCGCTAAGAGGAAATCCCAGGTAAAGATCACATCTTTTACTATTTTATATGCAGTTTAAAAATAGTTTCCTAGTACTGGTTCTCTTTCTGATACTGATGAGGAAATAATGGCTTATTTTAGTATTTTATAAATCATTTTAAAGGCTGTGAAAGTTATGTCTTCACCAAATAGATTAGTTTTATTTATTTTTTATTAAATTAATACAAGTATTATGAGGTGACTTTGAAATATATTAAATATGGTTATAAAGTATCAAGAATACTTATATTTAAAGATTTAATTAAAATACATTCCATTTTGAAGTTTCTTTCCTTTTTTTTTTAAAGACTTTATTTATTCATGAGAGACACACTGTGGGTGGGGGGTGGGCAGAGACACAGGCAGATGGAGAAGCAGGCTCCATGTAGGGAGCCTGATGTGGGACTTGACCCTGGGACTCTAGGATCATGCCCTGGGCCAAAGGCAGGGGCTAAACCCCTGAGCCATACAGGGATCCCTGAGGTTTTATGTTTCTTTTTCTTTTCTTTTTTTTAAAGATTTATTTATTTGTGATAGACAGAGAGAGAGAGAGAGAGAGAGAGAGAGAGAGAGAGAGAGAGAGAGAGCCAGAGACACAGGAGGAGGGAGAAGCAGGCTCCATGCTGGGAGCCTGACGTGGGACTCAATCCCGGGACTCCAGGATCGCGCCCTGGGCCAAAGACAGGCGCTAAACCGCTGAGCCACCCAGGGATCCCTGAGGTTTATGTTTCTTAAAGATCATTCTCACTGTGTCCTTTCATCTTATGTTATCCATTTACATGTTTTGTTTTGTTTTTGAAGTAGGCTCTGTGTCCAGTGTGGTGCCCAACTTGGGGCTTGACCTCAAGACCCTGAGATCAAGACCTGAGTTGAAGTGAAGAGTCAGGCACTTACCGACTGGGCCCTCCCCAGCCACCCTATTATTTTTTTTAACTTGTGGCTAAATAATTAAGTACCTAATTCCTTATTAATAATATAATTATATAATCTTCTAGTGTAGTAATTCCCCAGCTGTTAACAATAGTGTTAGTACACTAAAAAGCAGTATCTGCTGAGTATAGTTTGAGAAAAGCTTCTGGGAAATCAAAGAACTTTAAGGATCTGCAAAGTCTCACAGAACAAGAAAACTTAGTTTTTTTTAATCTAGAGCTTTCTGTGAATAATAAATGCTTAACTCTTGAGAAGCATTTTAGAAAATTCTGTATTAGATGTCTTTTGTTTATAGTTGAATTAAGTCTGTGTATCTTGACTGAGGGAGCTAGCAGTTCACTCTGAAGTTTACTTAGTTTAATCTATCCTGAATTCTTTTTTTAAAAGTGAGATATAATTGACATATGATATTGTTAGTTTCAATTGCATAATATAATGATTTGATACATGAATATGTTATGAAATGATTGGTTAACATCCTTCACCACATATGATTACAAATAATTTTTTTTGTGATAAGAACTTATAAGATTTACTCACTTACCAACTTTGAAATATACAATACAATATTAACTATATTACATCCCCATATATTCTTGTCTTCTGGTTCCATATTGCATTTTTATATCGTGTATTGTAGTTTTTGCTATTTTTTAGCTTCTTAGGATCACCACTAGAGGGTGAGCACAGAGAACAAAAGGATTTTCCTGCTATTGCTTGTTGATGCCCCTAAAAATGGGTACATAATGTGGGAGGAAATAAATGACCATATTTTAGATTGTGTCTTGATTTGTTTTCCAAATTATAAATATTTGAACACTTCATACTTTTTGGCATTGTGAAGGTGACAAAATAGTATTATATGTTTCCTGCCTCTCAGATAGACGATGATGATAGATAGCACTTACCCAGGCAAGGCCTCTGCTAAGTGGTTTGCATGCATTATCTCCTTTAATCCTTTCAACAGCTTTTTGAGGCAGGTGTTAATATCCTCTTTTTATAGAAAAGAATATGAAGCTTATAAAGAGATGAATTTACTTATTCAAGATCACATAGCTGACTTATGAAGCAGCTAGAAGTTGAGCAAGAATCTGACGGTTTTTTTTTTTAAGATTTTTTTTCTTAAATTTTTAATTATTTATGATAGTCACACAGAGAGAGAAAGAGAGGCAGAGACACAGGCAGAGGGAGAAGCAGGCTCCATACACCGGGAGCCCGACGTGGGATTCGATCCCGGGTCTCCAGGATCGTGCCCTAGGCCAAAGGCAAGCGCTAAACCGCTGCGCCACCCAGGGATCCCTTTTTTTAAGATTTTATTTATTTAGGGGCACCTGGATGGCTCAGTGGTTGAGCATCTGCCTTTGGCTCAGGTTGGGGTCCCGGGATTGAGTCCCACATCGGGCTTCCCGCAGGGAGCCTACTTTACTTCTCTCTTTGCCTGTGTCTCTGCCTCTCTCTCTGTGTCTTTCATGAATAAATAAATAAAATCTTTTTTTTTATTCATGAGAGAAGCAGGCTCCCTGTGCGGATCCCGTGACTCCAGAATCACGTCCTGGGCCAGAGGGAGGCGCTCAACCGCTGAGCCACACAGGCGCCCCAAGAATCTGACTTAATAATAGCTCTTAGGGGGCACCTGGGTGGCTTAGTTGGTTAAGTGTCTGACTCTTGATCTCTGTTCACGTCTTGATCTCAGGGTCGTGAGTTCAACTTTGTGTGGAACTGCACACTGGGCATGGAGCCTACTTAAAAAAGAAAAAAGAATAATAGCTCTTAACTTTCTTGTATTATTTTTTCTGAACTATGGTCTGTATTACGGTTTCAAGACAAACACATGGACAATGAATGATTTAATTAAGAATGTATATCCATCATTCCCCTTGCTGCCTCTTAGTTTAGGATTATCTTTGACTACTCTCTCACTAATTCTTAACTTATAGTTAGTTATCAAATTCCATTTATTCTACTAGCCTTTTTCCAGTCTATTCTATGCTTCCTATTCCCATTGTTGCTAATCTAATTACTCACCACTTTTACTAAAACTATTATAGTATCTTTCTAATTGTTCTTTCTGATTTTAGTCTTATCTCTGATTTAACTTTCATACAGTTACCAACTTACATTCTAAAGGCATAGGTATAATGGCTCCTCTCCCCTATTCCCAAATCTTTAGTTGCTTCCTGTTGTACATAGAATAAAATTTGTACACCTTGAACTTGGCTTTCATACTTACTTGTGGTGTGTCTTAAGCCTGTCTTTCTAACTTTATCTCCCATTAATTAAATTCCCTCTTCTTACTTTGCTCTTTAGCTATATGCTGTTCCCCTTTTCTAAAATATTTTGTCTGTTTTCTTCTTTTATTTAAGCATTTTCTTTTGTCAGGATGCTCTTAATCCTCTTTTCTTCTTGATTTTGACTGTCTTTTTTTCAGAGCTCCTAGATCTCATCAATGGAATCATTTTCTATTTGCCCTATACTTCTTTTTTCTTATTTTGCTGCACTTTCTATCTGTGGTATCTGTGGTATTTCTGTGTTTCTTTCTGTTAAAATTGTGGGCGCTCCTATTCATCTGTATCTCCCACAATGCTTTGTGATACGGATTTGTTAAATGTTAGTCTTAATTTGACAGTCAAGACAGTGCTAGATATAAGATGTTATATGACTAGTTACAGATTCTGTAGAGAAACTGTTAGGCGTTCAAACAGCAATTATTTCAAATTAGAATAGTCAAAAGAGATTTTATTTGGACGCCTGGGTGGCTCAGACGGTTAAGTGTCTGCCTTCAGCTTGGGTCATGATCTCAGGGTCCTGGGATCAAGCCCCATGTCAGGCTCCCTGCTCAATAAGGAGTCTGCTTCTTCCTCTCCCTCTGCCCCTCCTCCTGCTCGTGCCCTCTCCCCACCCTCAAATAAGTAAATGAAATCTTTTTTTAAAAGAGAGAGATTTTATTGAGGGAATTTAGCTTATATTAAATCATAAAGTTTAAGATAAACTGAAAATTGAAGAGTTTAGGAAATGAGTAACTTTTAAATATTTTGAATTATTTCACTTTACTGGGAATAGGGGTAGTATATTTAATAATGCTAATAAAACTATACAAAGAGGAGAGAGGATACTAGTTACATTTCTTCAATTCTTGCATATATCTTGAGAATTCCTCTGAAAATTTATAATGGTGATTCTTTCAATTAAATAATTGGTGTCAGGTAGCATTAAAAAAAGGGAAAAAAGCCATTTTTATTCTGCAGCAAAGTGGTGGTTTAGTTAAAGCTACATAACTGTTTTTTATTTCTATTTCCTTAAGACATTTTATGCAGTTGTAATGTTAGATTACCAGGTAAAGAGTGTGATTTTAATTGGACACGAAAGAGTACCAGAAGATAATACAACTTATATATCAATTGAAATTGCAAATTAAGATCGTTTTGAGTTCTTTTTTTCATATCAGATAATTTTTTTTCTCAAAATATGCTTTTCTTTCTTTGTACTGATCAGTGTTGTCAAAAAACAGAAAGAATCATTTTTGGTCTACTCAGAATTTTTTTAGAAAGTCTTGGCCTTAACACTTATTTGAGAAAACCAGATATAGTTCATTTATTATTTCTGGAACCTGATAAAACTAACATTTTTGAAAAAATATTAGATATGATTAATATGTGCCAACATTTTCCCCTTTATAAGCACTTTTTAATTCATATAACTTTTTTAAAAACTCATATAACTTAATCTGTTAACTTGGATTGTGACATTTTAATTTGTTCTTTGTAATCTTTGTTTTAAACTACAGTTATACTTCCTTAGTATACTTGGCTTAATTGTTGAACTTCATGTATAGTCCATTTTAATTTCAATTCATGGTACTTCAGTTAGTGTAATTTTTAGCTAATTTTGAGGTTTTTCTTTTATTAGAATACACATATTATTTCTACAGAAAATCATTTACATCATTGTGAATGTAACTTAATATCAGCACATTTACTTACAATTATTTCAAATTATTATGGTTTGCAATATGGAAAAGTTTCCAAAATTTATATGTACATGTGTATACACGTGGAACTCAAGTAGCATTCTATTTCTTAGCTTTGCCATTAGTAAGCAGTAATAATTTTTCAGTAATAAGTTAATACAGTAGTTATTTATTGGTTGTACTTTTTAAAAAGAAAATATAATTTCCCTGGTTTTCAAAAATATGTCTAGATGTCCAGTATTTTTGAAGAATATACTTTGAAATCTAGATTTCAAAATCTCAAATCAATGCAGATTCTGGATTTCAAAGCTGATCTTAATGTTTCCTCATGGTATAACAGTAAATGAAATACAGACATTAAGAGAGTTATAAAGCCATTTCTTTTCTTTCAGAATTCTGGGAGACAATGTAAGCTTTTCATTCTGAGACACTGAGTATGTTAGTATCATGGTTTATAAAATTTGGAGCATTTAGAATAGCAGTTACAATATATCTTAATATAGTTTTTTTTTTTATTTCAGAAATCTTAACCAAGGACTATGCTTTTTCTTATTTTTAGTATTTAGAGATACTTTCCCTAGGCTTTAGTTATATTGCCTTTTTTTAAAAAAAAAAGATTTAATTTATTTATTCATGAGAGACACAGAGAGAGAGAGAGTGAGAGAGGCAAAGACACAGGCAGAGGGAGAAGCAGGCTCTGTGCAGTGAACCCAATGCGGGACCCGATCCTGAGACCCCAGAATCACACCCTGGGCCGGGCGCCAAACCGCTGAGCCACCCAGGGATCCCCCTATATTACCTTTTTTTGTAATATGTGAAATTTCACCTTTTTTGTAACAGGTGAAATTTCAGTTTTAAATGAAGAGCAGGAAGCATTTCTGTTGTTGAAAATGAAAATTAATTTTGTTGGATTAGCATTAATTGGCACATTACTTAGATACTTTCTGTGAGGATATTGCATTTTTGACTGTCCTTAAGTTTTTATTTTTTATTTTATTTTATTTTTTTTTTATTTATGATAGTCACACAGAGAGAGAGAGAGAGAGAGAGAGAGGCAGAGACACAGGCAGAGGGAGAAGCAGGCTCCATGCACCGGGAGTCCGACGTGGGATTCGATCCCGGGTATCCAGGATCGCACCCTGGGCCAAAGGCAGGCGCCAAACCGCTGCGCCACCCAGGGATCCCTGTCCTTAAGTTTTTAGATCTCCTTTAGAGGCATGAAAATAAATTAGTGGTATTCTCTGCAGAACTGGCCAAAAACCAGCCAAGTATTTTGGAGATACTGATATCAGATAGATATTTTGGAGGTATTGTTAACAGTATTATAATGTAACCTCATGTAGTGTTATTCACAAATTTTTCTTTAATATAAATTTTCTTTCATATAAATATAAACTTCTCATTAAAGTAAAACATATTAATATAAGTTTTTCTTTAATATAAATTTTACTTTTACGAAAAGTAAAAGTAACAGGAAAATATGAGTGAACCACATGATGTGATATACTTGTGTTTTTAGGTTAGTGCTAAGATAACTTCACAGGCATTTTTTATGTGCTTATTCCCACAAAAGGACATACTAAATCTCACTGAATATGAGAACAACTCATAATTTTCCATTTAGAATGTATGATACCTTTAACTTTTTAAATTCTGAAATAAGGCGTGGTAAATGAGACTATGTTGAATATATGAAGATTTGATAATCCAGGCCATAGCTGAGTGTATTAAATGTTACTATACTTATAGTGTGTCCAGTTTCTCTTATATGTGCCATGCATCCACTCTTCAAACATGATGTGCTTTATAATACATAAATATATTTAATGTGATTAATTGAAATGTGATTAATATGAGCATGAAGGCTTAATAACTTGAATGAAGTGATAAGATTTATTTCTATATATACTTTCCTTTGCCTACGTCCTTTTAAGGGGTGATCTTCACTTTGAAGTAGAGGAGTGCTCTATTGAAGATTATTTGAACATTGTATTTTTAAACTACTACTTGGTGGCAGTAACTCCCCATTAATTACTGAAATGCTTGTTTCCATGTGTTAAAGAACATTATATCACCTGTAGTTGTATTGCAGGCAGTAAGAAAAATAGAAGAATGTTGGATACCTTGTCATTTTTTTTCTCTCCACTGAGAGAGGAGGCTTATGTGCATATATATATATTTGCAAAGGACAAAGAAGACAATGAGGAGAGTCACAGGATGTTATTATTAGAAGAGGTCTTCATCTTACAAATAAGGAAACAAGTATGGAGAGGTGGAATACCTACATCGTAAAAAGCAGTGATACTTAGCGTTTCCTTTCTTTTCTGAAGGGTAAAAATTTTTGTTTTGGGGTTGGAAGAACTAGAAACTGTTTCAGTCTCTCCATAAGATATTCTGTAGAATCATTCATTTCCTTTTTCACCTTATCTATCAATATTCAGGTAAATAGCAGTAAAATTAAATGCTAATCCTAGGATCATGACCCAACATTTCTAGAGTATTATATTTAATGTTATATTTTTCTTTAATTTAAAATCTGTACATGTCCATGTGAACTGAACCACACTGTGGTGTTCCCTTTATGGTTTCACGTAGGTTTTGGGCGACCTTCCCAAATATTTTCTTCCTTTGAAGGAAATGTGTTTGTTTGTTTTTTTTATTATGCAGCATAGGCTACATTTCATTACCATTTCTTTTTTGAAGGATAAAAAAATGTAATACCGAGACTGTAAATAAGTAAAAATATTTTATTTGCAATCCTTAAGTCATCTACACATTTTTCATAAAACCTTTTATAAACATTGTTAACCACTATGGTTCTCCCAAGGAGACTTAACAGTAACAAATTATTTGATTTAAACCACAGCCTGAATAATTTAAATAAACTGAAATTAGTCAACATGTGATGAAATTCATAAATGGAAACGTTGGCTGTCCTGTAGTAATCAATGCATAGCTACAGCTGGTTGAAGGGGACCAAATCCATTGAAGAGGCGATTTGGTTCCATTTTACCAGCTCTAGCAAAGCATTGCAGTGCTGCTAGTTTGGGATACAAAAGAATTGAAATGCTCTTTATTTGTACAGTTATGGTTATGGATTTTCTACAAATATTAGAGACAGTACTCTTTAGTCATTACATATAAACTTTTCTATTTTGAGACACTTTTCCTACTATTTCCCACTTGAACAGAGTAGAAGTCTGTGCACATTAACATTTTGTTGTCGCATTAAGGAATTATCAATGTATACCTTTGCATAATTTTTAAATGTAGATAATAATCTGTTTTAAAACCAGCATTTAAAGGAACAAACAGACCTTAATGTATTTCTATGTACTATTTTGTATTTATCGTTAGGTGGTGAACCAAGCAAGTATGCTAATAGGTTAGGGAAGAGTACTTACTGGTAGTGCTACCTTTCTTCCCACTGCTCCTTTATTTAGTATTATATTTGAGGACTGATAGCAAACTGCTGACAGGGAGGGGGTGGAGGAATATGAGTGGCCTTAAGAAAGTACCTTTGCCCTTTGGTTTATAAATAGATCACATGTATATTTGGTGTATTGCTTGGACTTCTGTTGAAAGGAACTACCACACATACCAGCTTTTTTCTTTGTTTTTGCTAATGTAGTGTTACTAATCATAGGTTAGTATATTAACCTTTTTTTAAGGTCTATTTCCCTGACTGAATTCTCCATCATTTTGGGTACAGATTGCCCAGTCCCTTCTATTATCAGCTTAATAATGCATGGACTTGTGGTGCATAGCTATAATCAGTGAATTTGAGTATTAAAATCTACATGAGTAATATTTTAAAAGTAAGTACAGCAAATTTTTGTTATAATGTGGTTTTAGTGTTGTGTTTCAGTATCAGGGAAGGGATATCTTTTGAAATATAAAGATATTTTGCAAAAATAAAAGTTTGAGATATTACAGTTTGCCTATAAAGTAAGAACTTTGAAAAATAAAGAAACAAGTTATTGTTTTGAAGTAAATGAGGAGAAGCTCAACAGTAATTTAGGCAATATTCAGACAGTTCTCATATTAAGTATATTCTGCATCTGTTGGTTGGTAAGTATGCTGCTGGTGAAATTAATGTAACTACAATTCTTTCCATTTATTCTAATAGAAATGAAACAGGTGTTAAATTGCCTGGACTTAAGTGCTGAAGATAGCAATAAAACTGGCTTCTATTTTTACTAGTTATATGGGAGCTGTTTAGCAGATCCAGTTGCTCAAGTGTGCTTTTGGATGACAGTTCAGTTTCATATACTGGCCATATCGGGGCAAGGAGAGGCCATGGAAAAAAAATAGTACAGCATTTGATAATGTCAGCATCTGTTATCCCTGTCAGAGAGACAGTTGAAATGTTTGAGTTACACCAGTGTCAGCAGATGCCCAGAGTTTACTATGTACTCAGTTAAAAATGAACAGCTGATCTAAGTGATGGATGTGACATTTTAGAATGATTGAAAATACTTAGATATGTTCATTTAACTTGTAGGCACTAGAATCAGTATATAATTTTGCCTCTTAAAATGAATAACAGATGTTGTCATTTCATTTTCTGAGGATTATGTACTCTTAACATTATAGCAGTGAGATTCTTTGTCACCAGGATGTTTTAAAGTAATTATTAAACATTTTTATTGTGCCTATAAAATAATGAATATAATTGTTCTACAATTTTACAATGTTCTATAATTTTATAATGTTATAAAACATGAGTATAGTAATGCCTTTTGAGTTGTTTTGTAGGGGAACCTGTAATTTTGAGATACATATTTTCAGTGATAACCATAGTTGTTAACCTTATGGACATTCTCTTCAACTTGGGACACATAAAAATTTTCAAATATCATTATGCTCTTTATACATGTCTGAATATTACAGTTGAAATAATACTTGTAATAAGGAATGATTAGAGTATATGAATATTAGTATTTCTTTTTTTCTGAATCTGTCATAGTAGCTTGAAACAGGTACTGCTTGTAAAGTATTGCCAGTAGCTTTATTATTTATGAGTTTTATTAAGTATATATTATACAAAATAAATTTTGTGTAAGATATAAAAAAAGTATTTTGGTATCTCCAACACACTACAAATAGTGGGTGGGCCTATCATGTTTGTCAAAATTGAATTGCTGTTGCCCAGTACCAGTGAAAGATGATTATTCTGTGTAAATTGATTTCTTAACTATAGCATTTTCATTTTATGTACTGCTTTGGAGAAAGCAAATTCAAGGATAATATAATAAACTAATTTCTTTTAAATATTTGGCAATCTGTTAGCAATGTGCCCTGTTAACCTACAACTGAGGCCCAGAATTTTGTCATTTTTCATGCATAAATCTTTAAGTACTAACAGCATTTAAAACAAAGACTGGGCTAAGGACCTATTTAACTTGAAGACAACACCACTTTTTATTTTTGAAGAGTAGAATGTTACTTAAAAGATAGTCTTTTCGAATTACAACTATGATAGCTTTCAAAACAGAAAGCCTAAAACAACAAACAAAACTTGCTTCAGAAATTCTTCTGTTAGCAGACTATAAATTTATTAAACTATGAAGAACAATTGTTAAAATGTAATGATATCAGTTTTTGTTATATTTTAATCTTAACAAATCAGTTGATCCTACTAATATGATATATTTCAATTAAGATCCAATTGTAGAGACAGAAAATAGGTCATGTGTATCCCTTCCTCTTTTGTTCTGGTAATACTAGCTTCTTTTCTGTATTCAAATTGTAGTCATGTAAGTACTTAATTTAAAAATGTAAAACAATAGTATATTTTAAACTTAAAAGATTTAAAAAGAGTTTCATGATAATTTTGATATTTAATCTCCTTAGTTAAACTTTTTTCTCTTCACAAAGTAGAAATCTTTGCAGCATTTAGTTTCCATCTAAAAGTAGGAGGTACATTTTTGTGGTGTATCGCCAAAGGTCATTTCTTAGATATTAGGTTAATTTACCGTATGATAGTCATTCACATAGAAAGAAGCAAAGGCTTATTTTAGCTGCAGTGTAGTTCCCTCCTGGCAGTTTATTGCCTACCAAAAATACATACTTCTTTACATTCCATAGCATTGTATGTTCATATGGGTACATAAAGAAGTATGTACTCTGAGTAGGTTTTACTAAGTTGTTAGCTGTAGAAACATGAAATATTTTATTTTTCCCATTTGTTAGTAAAACATACAGCTTACTGATACAGAACAGTGGTAGATCATTTGCAGAGACTATCAAAGACTAAACTATAACAGATTTACCTGAAGCATGGCATTAGTGCCATTTGTGGCTCCTTGTTCTTGGTGGACATAGACACTTCTAAACACTAACCAGTTATCTGTTGAACTTTGTCCTGGTCTGGTTGTTTTTGCCAGAGATTCATAAAATCAGTGGAGTTTTTACAGAATATATTTCAGAAACTTGTAAGATCAGCCTAGTGTTTCTTCATAGTCTTCAGAGCGAATTTCTTCTTATTTTGTAGTTTGCTTCTAGATCCTACAAGTAGATAGTAATGAACTCAGTGCACATTCTTTTTACAGACTATATATCTTACCAAAACTTAACCAATTAACCAATTAGTACTTATTCTGATATTGTGTCTAAAGTTGAAAGAAAAAAAAAAGTAAAGTTGAAAGAACAAGGAGAAAAACTAGATCTTTTTAGAGTGTGAGTAAACTGAATTTTTAAAGATGATGAATTATTTTTTTTAAAGGTCATCGATAAGGAATTCATGATTATTTTGAAAACTTCTTTGTCCTTCCTTTGTCTTAATTAGTTACTTAACTGAACTTTGCATTTTGGTGCTTTTGTTTGGGTTGAATACACATTCGAATAGTTGGATAAATATGTAATTTGGGGGAGTTGGGTTCTTTTGATTATTATTTTTTAATATAAAGGATAACTACCAAGATAGTCAACTTTTCTAAAGTCTCACTGAAAAGAACTGAAAGGTGTTAGCCTATGAGCACGGGGGTTTGAGCTTGATCATTTAGCTTGATAAGACATTATAGTTGGTGAGTTGCCTTTAACATTTGTGGTATTAAGAGGTTAATTTAAAAGAACACCGTAAGAAATGTTCATATTTAGGAAAGGAGAAAACACAACCGCAAGGAAAGTAGAATTTCTGCAGCCTGTAATAAAAAGTTAGTGCAGTTCATAGAGAGCAAATCAGAACGTAGCAGTAGAAGGCCCAGCACTACAGCAGTTTCAGCAATGCAGCATTAGGGTAACTTACCATGCACATTCTAATTTATTTTGTGACCAACTTAAAGTTAGCTTTAAAAATTATTTTGTAATCTGCCAAGTCTCTTGGTTGACTAAATCTTGAAATAGTTAATAGTTTTTAAAAGGTAGCATACTTTGGGAGCAGAGTGTGATTTACTAAGGATGCAAAATCATCATTTAATCTGAAACAAGAAAGACTAACTCCTTAATGATGTCATTGACAATAATGGATTTATGCATTTTTGAGATCAAGAATTATCTGCCAAGATACTTGAATAACATTCCTTTTTACGCTATATAAGCTGTTTACTTGAACTATGAAATTAGGTAATGCCCAGATAGACTTTAACAATAAAAGCATTTATCACATCAGTAATTGGTAAGCATGCAGAAAGTCATAAGCATCCTTAAAAGTGCAGGCCTTGTGGTGCTCTATTACCTGTAAGCTTAGTGCCATGCAGCATTTGCAGGAGGAAGAAAGATAATGACCTAGATAGTCACATCAGCAGCAGCCATCTCCTCTTGATTGTTCCTTCACTCTATTCGCTGATTCAGCACTTCTTTCCATGAGCTGAGGGAAGCAAGGGGACCGTATCAGTGAATACAGAACCTCACCTTTTAAGATACATTTGAAAAACAAATGAACAAACAAAAACAAATAAGCCATCTTTTTCCTCTCCCTTCCCTTCACCTTAAAAAAATAAAATTGAATGAAATTTGGCTATTTGATTTGGAAGATCCTATTACCAGTATTGCACAGATACGAGTACCTTGTATCTGCTGTACAGAAAGTTAAACCACCAAGGAGGGTTGGTATAATGGCCAAGAAAATGAACCTCACTTATTTTTCAGATGAAATGCTTCAGAAGAGGGGAGAAAGTTGTAGAGGAAGTTAATTTTATAATCCAAAAAAGACAGACAAAAACCAAAACACACCTCACTCCCCCCAAGTAACGGTAAACATTCACCCTATTTTCCTTTGCCCACCAGAATACATTGGGTTCTTCTGACTTCTCAGGAAATATTCTGTATCTTTCTTGCTGTGAAGTTGTTTTTTTGATTTTTTTGGTTTTTGGTTTTTAGTTTCCAGGATTAATTGGTAGATCTGTATTGAAGCCACCTTGTCATATCCAGAGGTCAAGTCTGCAAGCAAGGTCAGGACTTCCACATGGTCACTACAGAGGTTTAACTTATATTCTTCTCTCAGTGGCCACAGGCTAAACTGTTACAGCTTTATAGGCAGCTAAGCATTTGAAACATGCACTCCCAGGCAAACAGGCTCTCTTGTGCCTCTCTCTTCCCTGACCATATTTAGTCAACCATAGCAAAAAATAGTCTCTCAGCTGTCGATTGTCGATCCAAAAGCTGAGGAAGCCTCTATCTTGCTTTCTGCCTATTGATTGTTCATCCTGCGGTCCACAACACTGCTTTGCCATTTGTTCTGCCTTTTTTTTTTTTAAAGCACTGCCAAATAAAGCGGTCTCTCATGTTTCCACTTGCATTTCCCAGATTTTCACTGAGCTTGCGCTGAGACTAGGAAAGCCTGATGCAGCTGTCACTATACTTAGAAGCACTGCAGAGAAAAAAAGAAGAGGAAAAATATTACCCTGGCTAGTTGCAAGACAGTCTTTAGACAGACCTGGAACAAGTAAAATCCTTCTGTTGCCAAAATATATTTCATAACCTAATTTTTGTTGGTAAATATATTATGAATGATGGTATTTTACATAACTAAAGGCCTGAAGAGATTTTGCAGGGTTATCTTTAGAGCTAGTTGTTGCTAAACATGCTTTTTAAATTTAAGAAATAATATTTGAATGGAAAATATGTAGAAATGGTAAATGGAACCTGTGTATTAAAGATGGAAAGAAATCATTAAGGAAGAAAAGAGTAGTATGTAAATGAAATCTTGGAAAAATGCTACTTAAAACTTTTAATTCAGTGTCAGTTTCAGTTAATTTTTTGTAGTGCTTAGATGAGAAACGGTCTAAAATGCTTTTAAGTAATCATGTACTTTTATATTGAAACTATTTACATACAGAGCTATTAAAATGCACTTTTATTAATTCTATTTCATTTTTAAATGTGAAGTATTTTTTTCCTTCCTTTGACATTGCCATTCCTTTTAAATTTTCTGAAATAACATTTAGGCATGATCCTTTCTACTTTACCAGAGACTGAAATTAGTCATTAATCTAATCTGTAATGTTGCCACATAATAGTATATGCTTCAAAGGAAAAATGCTTTTGCTCTAAATTTTTATAGCATATTCACAATAAAGTGTAATGTTGAAATTTGCTTTTTTTTTTTTAACTAAGGAGAAAAGAATATTATTACATCAAATCTAACGTACTTATGGAGATACAGTTTTAGGATTTTACAAACCTAAAAATGCCCAAGAACAAACAAACAGGTTTCTTTCCTAAACTAAACCTATACCTTGTTCTTGTTCTTAATTCAAATACAGTATTCTGGTAAGTACTGATTCAGTTAAAAATTAAGAAAAACTGTTACCAGTTTTTTAAGTTCATTCTCCTATGAGGGAAGTTTGTCCTTGACATTCTTTTTGTCTTTAGCATTTAATACCATAGCAGGTGAATTATTTTGGATGGCTATTTTAAAGCAGTGCTTCTGTAGACATTTGGCAGTTTTGAAAAGCCAGCTTTACTAGATATTGGAATACTTTTACACATATTGTGAGATGATACATGTCTCAGATTAAGATAGGTTAATTTTCAGGTTTCTAAATCACCTCATTATTTCCTAAAACCATTTTGTAGCAGTGAAAGGTTGTTGTTTTGTTTTTAAAGCAAACACATGAAGTGCTGGGCACTCTTCTAAGCCCTTTTCAATTTTCATAGTAACTTCTTTGAGATAAGATCTATGATTCTTCTCATGTTTTATAGATGAAGAAACCGAGGCATCACAGTTAAGTAACCTACTCAAGTCACCAGCCATTTAGTTTGCTAATGCCAGAATTTGAACCCAAATAGTTTGGCTTCAGACTGTAAGCTCTTTACCACAACAGTATGCTGCTGCTCTTGTTTTTAATAATGAAACAAACCAGTTAGGGAATTACCTACCATTCTTGGGGGCTTGAGAGTATACCAAAAATGTAATAGGCTGCTAATGCCTCCATTATATTCAGAAAAATGATTGTTTCTTCTTTCGTTCCAGTTAACAGAACTTTGAGCTCCTTTTACTAGGCATACAAAGGGGATATAAAGATAATTAAAATGGGACCCTGGCCTATAACATAGAAGGAGAAATAGGAACTGACTGGTCATTTAAGAGATAATTTTGGTTGTCTTTAGTATCAGAATACTTGAGTATTCAGCTATTCAACTCTTCTGCAGCTTGAATTGTTGTATATCTCTTTTTCATTTTGAGCTAAATTCTGCTACATTACTAAATTTCCACTTAATGAAATTAAGCTAAATTAATGAGTTTTTTTTTAAGATTTTATTTATTCATAGAGAGAGAGAGAGGCGCAGAGACACAGGCAGAGGGAGAAGCAGGTTCCATTCAGGGAGCCTGACGTGGGACTCGATCCAGCTCGATCCAGGGTCTCCAGGATCACGCCCCGGGCTGCAGGCGGCACTAAACCGCTGCGCCACCTGGGCTGCCCATTAATGAGCTTTTTAATTGTGGTACTGTCAAAAAAAGTTGAGGGGGGAGCACATTAAAAAAATTAAAAACATCTATTCACTAGTTAAAAGTAGGTGAAAGAAAATAAAAAACAGCCATATTCATTTATTAAAGTGATTACCATGGATAGATTTTGAGTATACATCCTCTCAGGTTTCTTGTCTGCATCCATTCAGATAGGGGTGGGTATCGAACAAAAATATGTGTAGAATATCACATACTGGTTTGCATTTAGTATGCCCTAAAGAACTTCTGCTTGGGATTGATCAACTTTTAGTAGATTCCTTTATGAATTCTGGCTTTATTATTTAAGGGATTGTTTCATTAATTTATTTAGCAAGCATTTATTGAACACTTAATATGTGCTATTCAGCGATTCTAATGTGTTTTTACATTAAGTAATTCTAATAGTAAGGCCTCCACACTTCAGCTACTTGGATTCATTTGGAAAACATTGCCTGTCTCTGAAGAAAGATTGTAAAACATGGCAGGCCCTAAAAATGGACCCAGTGCCATTTGACTGCTACATACCAATGTAGACAGCTGCTTGTCCCCTCAACTTAGAACTCATTTGTTCATCATTCAGCAAACGTTTTGAGTATTACCATGTGCCAGGGATTATGCTAGGCACCACTATTAGTTGTTCCGGAACTTAATGCTTCTTTGGCACTGTTCACAAATGCCTGCTTAACTGGTAGTAAGATCTTACCTTTAAACCATCCATGTCCTTAACCTCTTGGAAAACAACTAGATTGAGAAATAAAGAAGAGTGTATGGGCATTAGGAAAAATACCTCCAAATCTCATACACTGTGCTCCACAGGTGAGAGTTTTGACTTAATCAAATTATTGATGCGTCGAACTGGTCACACCCTGATCTCAGCAACTCTGTGGACTTGAGTGCTTGTAGCATAAGTCTCCTCTTCAGGAACTACAGCACTGCAGGGGCTAGCTGACAGTGGCTTTCCTGGTTGGATTATGGGTTTCTCAGACTGTCCACCCTACAGAAGTAGGACTAATTAACAGAATGGATTGGTTCTGAAGTGAAAACATGATCTCTGAAAATCTGAATTTTGCATTTTAGTATAAGGATTTGATTTACTTTATAGAATGTAATATAGAAGGGACTGGGATCATTTTTGTTACTTGTAACAGTAGCTTGGAATTACCATCTTTCTTTTGCCCTGACAGTTCATTTACACATTTTGTACTGAGAGGAAAAGGCAAGAAGACATAAGGTAGTGAGATATGAGATAGTAGAGAGAGTAGGTTTTCAAAAATAAGTCTCTATTTCTGTTTAAATGCCTTACTAACCTTCTGAGCCATGGCTCTTCTTTCTGAGAGACTTCAGCTTTCTCTCACTTGTTCACTTAGGAAATACAAGCCCAGAAGGACAAGTTATGATGGCTTGGACATCCACATGTCAGTGGATAGCTTAGGCTCAGAGAAGGAAACTGCTCCTCTTTCTCTTTCTTTTCTCTGAGTTATTGGCAGCATAATATGGGAAGGTACTTCTGAAACAGGAATGGAAGATAGTGGGAAACATGGTTTCACAAGAACCATCTTCTCAAGGATATTCAGTAATGTGACTAAAAAAAAAAAAAAAAACTTCGTGAAAGTAGCATGAACCACACTTTATAATGTAAAACTTACGTCATATTTGTATAGTTTGGCTATAAGAACTAAAGTAGCAAGTTAAAAGATGTTAATATAGTAAGCCTAAATATTATTCTAGTGTTTTGACTTAAATTTTAAAAATCTGATACATATATACATAGCTAAGTCAAATACTACTACAAAGCTTATAATGAAAAAATGTGTTCTGCTTTATCCCTCTTCATCCCTTTGCTTCCCCCAATACCCTCCCTATTCAGTAACTTCCAGCTTATCCTGCAGTTTTCCTAATTTATCAATTGTAGATAATATCTACTGATGTCATGTCATGAGAAATGAAGTTTTAAAACTATTGACATTGTCTCTTACACCATTTCTCTCAACATAATCCTATCAGTTTTTGTTTAAATCAATAAGTGTTTACATTACTATCTTATGAATTCACTTTATTTTTAATAAAAGTTTTTTTCTGCGTGATTTATTGCTTATATCTTCTAAACTCTCCAAAAGAATCATAAAAGCCTTATAAATTCATTTCTTACATGGTCATTTCTTACATACATATGTGTAGAGTTCTTGATAATGTTTTGGCACCATGATTATGCCAAATCCAAACATCCAGTAGTACAATGTGGTACCAGTTTTTTTTCCCTGTTAAGAATCTGAGTCAAAGTTACATAGTATCTAGTATCTCTCGTTTTTTAAAGATTTTATTTTTAAGTAATCACCCAATGTGGGGCTCCAACTTACAACCCTGAGATTAAGAGTCACATAGTCTACCACTGAGCCAGCTAGGCACCCCAATATCTAGTATCTTATTTTAGTCTACCTAAGGAGGAAGATCAGAATACTCACAATTACTGTAAACGAACTAAAATAGGAAACCTGAGCTTTCTGTGAGATCCACAAATGGGATTTAAGGGTTTGTAGACTCTTTCAAAATTGTAGGCAGAGCTATAGATATGTGCATTTCTCTGGGACATATAAATATGTCCATACTTTTCCATAGGTTTTGAAATAATTTTGTCACCACAAAGCAGTGATTATGACTTTAGTAACAACCACTAAAAGCTGTGTTTAAGTTGTGATTCTCTGTATACTTTGGGTTACAGACCTATTTTAAAATCTGATAAAAGCTGTAAACTTCCAAATTTGAATACAGTTTTAGAAGTTCTTGGATCTGGGCAGCCCGGGTGGCTTAGCGGTTTAGTGCCGCCTTCAGCCCAGGATGTGATCCTGGAGACCCAGGATCGAGTCCTGTGTCGGGCTCCCTGCATGGAGCCTGCTTCTCCCGCTGCCTGTCTCTGTTTCTCTCTCTCTCTCTCTCTCTCTCTCTCTCTCTCTCTCTCTTTTTGTGTGTGTGTGTCTCTCATGAATAAATAAATAAAATCATTAAAAAAAAAAAAAGTACTTGGATCTTCCAGAGACTGTTTTGAGATTTCTTGGGCTTCCTATATGGGATTCATAGACCATTATGTTAAAGAAATATGTTCTGGGTCTTGTTAGGCCTTATTCTCATTTTATAGGCCTACAGTTTCATTTATACACTCTTATTCTACATCTTCAGCCTATTTCTCCATATGTTTGTAACATTTCTCTATTTCAAAATTTATCTTTCATATGTATCACCTAAAAAACTATCCCAATATGTGTCTTATTATCATTTCTTGTCTTTTAATACTCTGTTGGCACAATTTTATTTATTATAATTTTTTCATGTTCCTTTATATTTTATTTATCATAAACATTAATTGAATACGGCAGAGAAAGGCTTTTTAATAATTTTTGGATGTAAAGCTTAATACTTGTAATTATGCTTGCTCCCCTCCACCCCCTTGTTGGCACAAATTTAAAAGTGTTTCAGTTTTTATGTCTTTTGTTAGGAGTGGGAAAACCCCTAATGTCTAATATGTGTATATCAGGTCCATGCCAAGTCCAACACTCTTTATAGGAGTAGTCATTTTCTCAGTCTTAAACAAAATAGTGGATACATATATTAAGGGAGGATTTTTCGAAGTTAGGAGTTTTCTGCATAAAATCTTTCTGTTAAGCAGTTACTGGTATATGGTAAGAAAAGTTGCTTTTAATTTTACTTTTCTTTTTTGGGAGTGGGCTAGGTATTTCTTTAAAAATAATTTTTTTTAGTTGAGTGTAGTTGACATATGATGTACTTCACATGTGCAGCATAGTGTTGAACATCTATATATGTTATGCTGTGCTCACTGCAAGTGTAGCTGCCATCTGTCCCCATACAGTGCTATTAAATATCATTGACTATATTCTCTGTGCTGTACCCTTGACCCTTGTGACTCATTCATCCAGTAACTGGAAGCCCGTATCTCCCCCTCTCTAACTACTCCCCTCCCTTCTGGCAACCATCAGTTTATTCTCTGTATTTATAAGTCTGATTCTGCTGTTTGTGTATTCATTTGTTTTTTAGATTTGACATGTAAGTTAAATCATGTAGTATTCTCTACCTGACTCATTTCCCTTAGCATAATATCCTTTAGGTCCATCCTTGTTGTCACAGATGGTAAGACCTCATCCTTTTTTTTCTTTTATGGCTGGGTAATATTCCATTGTGTATATATACCACATCTTCTTTATCCATTTTGTCTGTCAGTGGACACTTGGATTGCTTCCATATCTTGGCTCTTGTAAGTAATGTTGCAGTAAACAGGAGTGTACTTACTGGATCATATGATGCTTTTATTTTTAATTTTTTGAAGAACATATTTTTTTCCACACTGGCCGTACAAATTTATATTCCCACCAGCAGTACACTAGAGGGTTCCTTTTTCTCTACCTCCTCACCAACACGTTATTTCTTGTCTCTGATTTTAGCCATTCTGACGGGTATAAAGTGATGTCTCATTGTGGTTTTCATTTACATTTCCCTGATGATTAGTAATGTTGAACATCTTTTCATATGTCTGTTGGCCATCTGTATGACTTTGGAAAAATGTTCAGGTCCTCTGCCCATTTTTTTGATCAAATTGGTTTTTTTGGTGTTGTGTAAATTCTTCACATATTTTGGATATTAATCTCTTCTCAGATATATCATTTGCATATATCTTCTCCCATTGAGGAGGTTGCCTTTTTGTTTTGTTGATAGTTTCCTTTGCTGTGCAAAGTTTATTTTGATGTAGTCCCAATAGTTTATTTTTTGAAGAAGCATCACTTCTGATAATGACTTCTCCTCCTCTTTTATGCTTTACTTTTTGATGTTCTTTAGAATAACTTTCTTGCTCTGGAAATATGTTGTTATTGATCCCAAAATTTTAAATAATGTAATTACCATTTTGTGTGTTTTGATACCAACTGGATTTAGCATTGCTAAATGATATATATCAGATTTTTAACTACAGTTCATGATAATCTACCAGTTACCAGTTAAAAAGTGAAATTTGTCTTTTTATCACTATTATTCCTACTTTGTTGTTGTTAACCTGGCTTTTCTTTATTTACTCTTTCATTAATAGATAATATTCAAGTTGAACCTAAGAGTTTCCACAAGACCATAAATTGTCCATGTTTGGATCTATTTCTTTCTCCTTTGTTTTTTTTTTTTTTTCTCTCATTAGGTTTTTCCTTTTGTAACACTCCTATTCTAGTTTGATTCTATTCCCTAAATGGTGATAGTTTTTTTACCTCCTAAAGCATCAAAAAGCTGCACATTAGAGATTTAGAAAAAAATACAATTCATGTTTCTCTCAGTGCATAATTTTCTTTAAAGAAGAATGTTTTTATTTGATTTCAGAAGTTTTCTTTGAAAAAAAAAGTTTTCTTTGAACATTTTTTCTAAAGAAAATAGTGAAATATTTAAATATCAAATTATGTAAATCTCAAAATCATGTAAACTTGACTTTCAGTGCAATGCGTGTTTTACTGTCTAAATTACCAAGACCATGGATTGTGGATGAGAAGAAAGATGATGGTTATACTGCCTTACATCTGGCTGCACTTAACAATCATGTAGAAGTGGCTGAACTGTTGGTACATCAGGTAGGAAAAGCTGTGCCATAATTTTTAACAATTTTGGACTGTTGCCATTCGTTTATTACTTCATCAACTACCTATTGATAGGTTACAGTAAAATCCCATGATTATGGAAATTCAGATATGGTGCACTTCATTCTTCTGCCTAACACTCTTAAATGGAGGGTAGTGGTCTGTGTGTGTGTAGCCCGATTTTATTCCCTTCTACAGTGTTCCTAGATTGGTTCCATGAAATAGGCATAAGTGATTTTCCAGAATCGCTACCACTGTTGTTAGAAGTATCCATCAGCCATAAGGCCAAGAACCATTATGTTGGTATCTAAGCTAGTGTGGCCAGTTGCTGTCAGATAACACCAGGCTACAGCCAGGACTTGGGGATTCAGTTCATGCCTACTGCTGGACTCCAGGAATCTGTGACTGGATAGCAGCAGGTTCACTTCAGTCATTTGATTCATCTTTGAGATAAGAGGACACCACATTTTTATGAGATTGGATTTTGGGGGAATTTATTTACTATAGTTCTATGATGTTTTAGTTTTTAAATACTTCAATGAAGCATATGCCATATAGAAGCACTGAAGTTACCAAAGAATTATCTGTGATCTCTGATTCACAGAACTTAGTCTAGTTAAGAAGATGAAATAGCAGGAACATTTAATAAATTGTTCATTATGTGTAATTAGCATCACATTGAAGTATAGCTGACACACAGTGTTTCATTAGTTTCAGGTGTACAGCAGCATAGTGATTTGACCATTGGGATGCTATTCATTATGCTCTGCTCACCCCAAGTGTAGCTATCATCTGTCACCAGTACCATTGACTAATAAGCCTTTATTATTAAGGTTACTATTCTTAAAGTATTGTTAATTGTGATAATTTCCTTTTCAATGCAAAATACAGATAACTGACGATATGCCAGTGTCACACTGTCTTGATTATTGTTTTTAGTTAGGTCTTGAGATCCGTTAAAGTAACTCTTCCAACTTTGTTCTTTGTTCTTTTTTCTGAGAGTTACTTCAATATTTTAGATTTTTGAATGTCCCTATAAATTTTAGAATCGGATTACTAGTTTCCATTAAAAAGTCTTGACATTCTGGTTGCACTGCACATTTTAGATTGAACCTTTTTTCCCCCCAAATTTATCTTAACTCGTTTCTTTCATGCTGTTGTAAATTGTATTGTTTGAATTTTCAGTTTCTAATTGTATATTACAAATAAATGGAAATAGTTATTTTTTGATGTTGACCATATTTCCTGTGATTTTGCTTCAATAATCACATATTAGAAATTACAACCACAGTGAAATAATACTAATCTGCTTCTAGTACTACTACTAACTATCAATGAAAATGACTAAGATTAACCAAATGTTGGTTGGGATGTGGAGCAATTAGAATTCAGACATTGCTAGTATTTTTTAGAGCAGCCACTTTGAAAGTTTGAAAGTTTTGGCAGTTTTTAATAAAATTATGCATGTATTTACTATGCAATCTGGTAGCCCCCCTTCTAGGTATGTACTCAAGAGAACTGAGGACATATTTCCTCACAAATACTTTAGTGCACAATATTTTTAGCAGCTTTACGTGTAATAACCTCAAACTGGAAGTGGGCCCGATGTTCATGAACTACTCTCTAGATAAAGGAATTATAGTACCTCCGTACAGTGAATACTACTTTGGAAAATCTAATGATGGAAAAGTTCAGGAACTTAAAAAAGAAAATCTCTCACTTTGTGCATTTAATGAGAACAGGCATGGTAAGAAAACAAGCTGAGATCAAGTTCTTCCTGATGACACCCAGAGAAATATAAATAATAAAAACAAATCAGAAACTCCAATCTTCCAGAATATGTCATAGCATTATTGGAGTTTCAACTCTACCTAATACCCCAAGCAAGGGCACAGGTGGGGTTTCAGAGTTGTATTCAGAGGGCATGAATGGTTCTAAGATGTAAACAGAATGATAAAGTTTATCTTACGGATCTGTAGCCCTTTTCTTAATTTAATTTTTAAAATTATTACACAAGACATTGTATATAGGGTGGTTTTACATGCTTTTTTTCTGAATCTTTACTGGAGAGGAGGAAATTTTTTTCTTCCGTTCTAGGTTCTTTGGCTGGTCTAATAATTAAATTGACATGAGACATAACAATAGGAGAAAAACACATTTAATTTTGTATACGTGGGAGCTCAGAAAAATATGAGACTCTCCAAAGTGAGGCAACTTTTTATACCTTTTAAACAAATAATAATTTGTGGAGAATACACAAAGGGGTTTGCACTTGGGGTAGAAAATAAATAAATGAAGTAACAAAGTTTAGATAGTAATTCTTGGTCCTTAATTTCTTATATCTGGCAATAAGGATGCCCTCTACCCTCCAGATGCAGGAAGGGATAGCCTTCACATGGGGAATTTATTTTCTGCTTTCAGGGGAACGAAGGAAGGTCAGAGTGTCCTTGCTCTGGCTATTTCTTAAGTAACTTTAATTCAAAATAATCAATATGCCAAAGTGGCATTATTTTGAGGCAGCCCACCCTTAATCCCATCATCATATTGACCCTGTGAAATAAGTTGCACTATGACTGTGTTAGAGCCGAGGAAATGATTGTGAAATAGCAGAATGCCTCTTAAGTTCTAGAAGCTCTAGGTCCCCTTGTGCCATTATATAAGTTTAGGACTTTTGCTTTTCAGTTCCTTTCCTCTGTCCTTGGCATCAACTGTTCTCAAATAGTGCTTTGACTATCCCAGGACCCTGGTAGGACATTGTGCTTTCCCTTTAGTAAGTATTTTTATGTACTAATTAAGCATTGTCTTCTCACCCTCCAGCGAAGTTCCTTTTCACTGAATAAGAGCTCAGTCATGCAGCAAGAGGAGGTGACCTTATTAGGTCATTAAAGTAAATCTAAATCCAATATGAAGACTCACTAATAGAACTTCAGGAAATATTATTTACAATTAAAAGGAGGTAATTACCTCTGTTGCTATATAATGGAGATTGAGAGGGAGCTGTGTTTGAGCTCTGTACTGAACTTTGTTTTTTTAACTGTTCCTAGATGGAGTCACCATAATAAGTAATTATTGTAAACTTGCTGTCCTGTCTCAGAAAGTTTATTGCCCCATCTAATTCTTGCTGTATCGCCAGCTACTGTTATGAGAACAATGTTGCTGTAGCTAGAAGGGAGGAGAGTGGTCAACAGTGTTCTGTGTTGTTTATTCCTAATGAAGAGTTACAGTTTTAGTGTCCAGGGTTGTCAAATTTTGAGTATGTAAACTTCATTCTTCTTTTTCAGGGTAATGCTAATCTGGATATCCAGAATGTGAACCAACAGACTGCCCTACACCTTGCTGTTGAACGACAGCACACCCAGATTGTGAGGGTAAAGTATTTACTAAGAAGAATCTTACCTGATAATTATGTTTTTAGATAGATTTCTAGAAGGTCTTGAAAATTATACATGGTTAGATCTTTCAAAAAGCATAGTTGGTTGTAAAAATTATGATTTTAGGCTAATATTTTGCATTAGTTGGGTAAAGAGTTTTTAATTTATAATAGGGGAAAAAAATCTTAAAACTGATATTCAAGGTCTGTTGTATAATTTTGTTGCCAGACTTGCGACTTCCCAAAATATTAAATCAGAGAATTTCATGGTAACATATAAACTGGCTTTTAAAAAGTACATTTCCTCTTAATTTGTGTAATTGAGAGTGAACTATAATTAAAAGCTTAGGTTGGACGTTTACTGCACAGATTCCAAAAAAACTGAAATATATATTTTTATTTGACTAATCTGATATTCCAGGGAAAATATTTGAAAGATTATCGGTTTAAAATTTTTTTGTAGAGCAGTGATTCTTAAAGTTTAGAAGCTGAACCAGCAGCATCAGCATCACCTGGGACCTTGGTAGAAAATTCTTGGGCCCCACCTCAGACCGACCAAATCAGAACCTCCAGGGGTGGGAACTAGCAATCTGTGGTTTAACAAGTCCTCCAGGTAATTCTCATGCATGTTCAAATTTGAGAAACACTGTCCTAGAGTGACATTTTATGTAAACTTTTGGGAACAAAGTAAAAAAAAGGAAAACCACCAACAAATGATAATTTGCCAAGACAGGTAAGACCATATGCTTGAGATTGTCTTCTGTTGTGTTTTTTTAAAACCCTGACAGCATTTGTAGAAAGGATTAGGAAAATCAATAAAGCACTATAAGTAAAGTCTTAAATATAAAGTTATATTTATTAAGATATTTTTGAGTTATATCAATACCTCAGTAGTTTAGCACACACTTCACATTGTTACCTAAAATTCCTCTTGCTAAAAATATTTTCATTTATCTGTGATTTTTGGACTTTCCTTATGACTGTACATTTGGAGAAAATTAACCACAAAGAGAATAGAATAAATAACTTGCTTGAAATAAGTTAATATCTTTAAGTAGTAGTAGAATTGTGAACATTTATGATTTGGTCCTATTGGAAGTACTTAAAATATCCCAATTCACATATCTGCAATTAAAAGGAGAAAAAGGGGGGATAATGGCTGGCTCAGTCAGTAGAGCATGAAACTCTTGATTTTGGGGTTGTGGATTTGAGCCCCACATTGGGTGTAGAAATTACTTGACAAAATCTTTTTAATTTTTAAAGATGTATTTATTATTACAAATTTTATTTATTCCTTTGAGAGAGAGAGCTAGAGCGAGCAGGGGAAGGAGGGGTCCAGGGAGAGGGAGAATGAATTCTAAGTAGACCCACGACTCTGAGATCACTACCTTCAGGTAGGGCCAGGGATCTGTCAGTGTTACTTTATTTATCAAAATTTATTTTATTTAAATTCAATTAAATAACATATAGTGTATTATTAGTTTCAGAGGTGGAGTTCAATGATTTATCAGTTGTATATAACACCCAGTGCTCATTCCATCAAGTGTCCACCTTAATATCCATCACCCCATCCCCTAACCCCTCCCCCTCCAGTAACCCTCAGTTCATTTCCTATAGTTAAGAGCCTCTTATGGTTTGTCTCCCTCTCTGATTTTGTCTCTGTTACTTTAAATATGTAGTAATTTCTTATCAGCCAGAGAGACCTTAGCAAAATAAGATGTCTTTCTCTTTTAGCTTTTGGTCCGTGCAGGTGCCAAATTAGATATTCAGGATAAGGATGGGGATACTCCTTTGCATGAAGCTCTGAGGCATCATACCTTGTCTCAGCTGCGTCAGCTCCAAGATATGCAAGATGTGGGGAAGGTAGATGCTGCATGGGAGCCATCCAAAAACACAGTGAGTAAATTAATCTTTAATTCTGTACTACTGGAAGTATCTTTTAATGCAAGATCTATATTTGTGGTTAATTTAATCTGTTTCTGATAAAATATTTTATTAGAACTGCATATGTAGAAACTTAGTTTATGGACTAAGTAATAGTTAATTCTGGCTATATTGTTTCTAATTCTATTGAAAGTTGTTGGGTTATTTTTTTAACTTTAGCCATTTATATGGGTGTGTAGTGGTATGTTGGGGTTTTGATTTACATTTCCCTAATGACTCAGCAGTCATTGATATTGAACATCTTTTCACTTGCTTGTCAGTCGTATGTATTCGATGAGGTATCTGTTCACATTTTTTGTGCATTGTTGAACTGTTTTCTTACTATTGAGTTTTAAGAGTCTGAATTCAAATTCTGTATCAGATACGGGATTTGCACATACTTTCTCATCATCTGGCTTGTCTTTTCATTCTTACAATAGTGTTTTTGGAAGAGCAGAAATTCTTAATTTTTTTTTTTTTAAGATTTTATTTATTCATGAGAGACACAGGGCGGGTGGCAGAGAATAGGCAGAGGGAGAAGCAGGCTCCATACAGGGAGCCTGATGTAGACTCGGTCCCGGAACTTCAGGATCACGCCCTGAGCTGAAGCAGGCACTTAACCGCTGAGCCACCTAGGTATCCCCAGAAATTCTTAATTTTGATGAAGTCTGATTTATAAATTTTTCTTTCATTGTTTGTGTTTTGTGTCCTTTCTGAAAAATCTTTGCTAAACCCAGGTTCACTAAGGTTTTCTCCTCTTTTGTACTAGAAGTTTATTAAGTTTTAGCTGTTACATTTAGAACTATGATTCTTTTTTTTTTCCTTTTGAAATCAAGTTAACATATCGTATATCATTAATTTCAGGGTAGAATTTAGTGATTTGTCAGTCTTCTATAACACCTGTGCTCCTTACATCAAGTGCCCTCCTTAATGCCCATCACCCAGTTTATTCCATCCTTCTACCCTTTTCCCCTCCAGCAATCCACAGTTTGTTCTCTATAATAGTTCAGAGTCTCCTATGGTTTGTCTCTCTCTGTTTTTAACCTATTTTATTTTTCCTACCTTTCACCTGTGTTCATCAGTTTTGTTTTTTAAATTCTACATATAAGTGAAATCATACAGTACTTGTCTTTCTCTGACTGACTGACTTCACTTAGCATAATACCCTCTAGTTCTAGCCAGGCCATTTCAAGTGGCAAGATTTCATTCTTATTGATGGCTGAGTAATATTACGTGTGTGTGTGTGTGTGTGTGTGTGTGTGTGTGTGTGTGTGTGTGTGTTTGTGTTTGTATACACACTGCATCATCTTTATCCATTTTTCCATCGATGGACATCTGGGCTTTTTCCATAGCTTGGCTATTATGGACATTGCTGTTATAAATATTGGGGTATAGGTGCCCCTTTGCACTATGTTTGCATCCTTTGGATAGATATCTAGTTGTGCACTTGCTGGGTCATAGGGTAGTTGTATTTTTAACTTTTTGAGGAACCTCCTACTGTTTTTCCAGAGTGGCTGTACCAGTTTGCATTCCCCCCAGCAGTGTAAGAGAGTTCTGTCTTTATCCACATCCTCACCAACAACTCTTGTCTCTTGACTTGTTAATTTTAGCCATTCTGACTGGTGTGAGGTAGTATCTCATTGTGGTTTTGATTTGTATTTCCCTGATAATGCCTGATTTGAGCCTTTTTTTCATGTGTCTGTTGGCCATTTGTCTTCTTCAGAGAAATGTCTGTTCATGTCTTCTACTCATTTCTTAACTGGATTTTTTATTTTTTGAATGTTGAATTTGATGAATTCTTTATAGATTTTGGATTCTAGCCCTTTGTCATTTGCAAGTATCTTCTCCCATTTGGTAGATTGCCGTTTAGTTTTGTTGATGGTTTCCCTTGCTGTGCAAAAGCTTTTTGTCCTCATGAAGTCCTAGTAGTTCATTTTTGTTTTTGTTTCCCTTGACTCTGGAGACATGTCTAGCAAGAAGTTGCTGTGGCCGAAATCAAAGAGTTTGCTACCTGTGTTCTCTAGGATTTTGTTGGATTCTGTCTCACATTTAGGTCTTACATCAGACTGTGTTTCATTTGGAGTTAATTTTTATTTTATTTCATTTACTCATGAAAGAGAGAGAGAGGTAGAGACACAGGCAGAGGGAGAAGCAGGCTCCATGCAGGAAACCCGATGTGGGACTTGATTCCAGGACCCCAGGATCACGCCTTAAGCCAAAGTCAGACACTAAACCACTGAGCCACCCAGGCGTCCCTCAGTTAATTTTTATATATGGTATGAAGTATGAATACGAGTTCATTTTTTGTCTTATGGATGTTCCAGTTATTTGACCACCATTTGTTGAAGAGACCTTTTCTACTGAGTTGCCTGTTGTGCTTTTATTACAAATCAGTTAACCATATATGTGAGCCTTTCTGGATCCTGTATTCTCTTCTTTTAATCTGTGTCTTTAACTATGTGATACCAACCCTCTGTCTTTATTACTTTAGCTTTACAATAATCATTCAATTCAGGTAAAAGTCCTCCAACTTTTTTCTCCTTTTTCAAAGTCGTTTGAGTATTCTAAGTCTTTCACCTTTCCATGTGAATTTTAGAATCATTTTTAAGAATGTGAAGGGGTTCTGAGACCAAGGTGTTTGAGAATTGCTGCCTTTCTATATAACCATTGGTAAATTCTCTTAACTCCTGTGTGCTTCCTTTCTCATTTTATAAAGGAGTGGAATAATTACCTCCATATAGTTATTATAAAGATTAAATGAGTGAATTCATGGAAAGTGCTAAAAGTAGTAGTTGGTCCATTGTAGATGCTCTATGGATGTTTGAGAACATGTTTGAATCAGTAGCTCATATGACATCAGAACCTGATTTATTTCCTCTTCCATTTTTTGGCTCAGTTCCTTGGTATTGGAACCAAGAAACTGAGCCTCATCTCTCTCTCATCTCTCATCTTACTATTTCATGTTCGTTATTAGCACCTCCAGAGCTAAATTGAGTAGAGAAGGGACTACTGGGATGCCTGGGTGGCTCAGCAGTTGAGCATCTGCCTTCAGCTCAGGATATGATCCTGGGGTCCTGGGATCAAGTTCCACATTGGGCTCCTTGCAGGAAGCCTACTCCTCCCTCTGCCTATGTCTCTGCCTCTGTGTGTGTGTGTGTGTGTCTCATGAATGAATAAATAAATAGAGAAGGGACTACTATTTCCTCAATATGTTAATCAGAAGTCCTGTTCTAGGGTTTTATTGGCCTAATTGACGTGATTTTGTCATCCCTGAACTAATCACATAGATGAGGTGGATATCTGACTGACCTTAGCCTTCTTTGGTCCACCTGTAAAACTAGAGAGTTCTCAAGCTATATACCTGAGAAAACTGGAGTGAAGAGGGGAATAGATATTAGGACTGCAACTCATAAAGGCCCACCATATCTGTGTAAGCCATTAGTTCTTTCCAGACATGTATTTTTGTATAATAATGTGTCTATTTTGTATAATACATGCACACACATATTTGGTGGTGAGAATTGATTCTCAAGGAGAAAATCATGACTTTTCATTTGATTTCAGTTAATAATGGGACTTGGTACCCAGGGGGCAGAGAAGAAGAGTGCAGCGTCTATTGCCTGTTTTTTGGCTGCCAATGGTGCTGATCTTAGCATTCGAAATAAGAAAGGTCAATCGCCGCTTGATCTCTGTCCTGATCCAAGTCTCTGCAAAGCACTGGCAAAGTGTCATAAGGAAAAAGTCAGGTTTGTATCATTTATTATCATAAAAATATTCTCTCTGTATAAAGTACCATGTGGTTTCATAATGGAGGACTTGATTACTTGAAAATGTCTTTGTCTTTGCTCATCATCTTTGTGTTGACCCTTTCTTCCTTAAAAATTTTCCTACAGGCACTATGTCTCTTATGTGGTATTTTCTACATTACTGAATATGATGCTTTATGCATAATAAATGCTAAGAAACTTTTCTAAACCAGTTTGATCTTCCAGTACTCCTACATATTAGAGGAATTTATAAGAAAAAGCCTTACTAGTGAAGTTGCTGTGATTAATGTTAGATGTATTTAAAACTTTTAATAGACTTTTTTACATGCTCACCAGTAAGGTGTATCTTACAAAAACCCTGTGATAATTTAGTAATTCTAGCACTCTGCACATTGCCTGACAGGTATTCACTTAAGTATCACTGAAGGATTGAAAGAATTTGAAAGAATGAACACATGAAAGAACCAATTCCTGAGGGGGGCACTTGATGGGATGAGCACTGGGTGTAATGCTATATGTTGGCAAATTGAACTCAATAAAAAGGAATTTAAAAAAAAGAAAGAAAGAACCAATTCCTGATAGAGTTGTCTCTAAAAATGATTTCATACTTGTCTTTTCTAAAAGTAAAATATATCAGTGATTTTAGTTATTTATAATGCAACTGATTTTCTTATGAGATACTGTAGACATACAAAGATGTATATTTCGTTACATTTTTTTTTTAATCTAAATGGTACTGTGTATCTATTATTGCCCTTTATACTTGGTTCTTGTCACTGAACATTTCAGTAGTTGTCCTTTAATCTTGTGTTCTCTTGCCTCTTTTATAATTTGGGTATAGTGATAAATGGCTTCTCTTTGGAATCCATACATAGAGCTGTGTTAATGGGGAAATTAACATAATGAGGTATATGTATTTCTCTAAGTGTATCCTTAAGGAACATAAAATCCTATTCAAAATGACAGTGTGCATCAAAAAATATAGAATGCACTATAATTTCTGCAGTAATAACTAACACCGGTGTATAAGATAAAGTCCCTTTGGGTGTGCATGCATGGGTATTCGTGAGTTTCTGAAGATTGTGGTAGAAATCGTAAAATCGTATCCTCTTTTTATAGCTGTAGTTGGTCTTATATATGTACTTCTGTGTCTTGTATCTATTTTTTTTAAATTTTTATTTATTTATGATAGTCACACACACACAGAGAGAGAGAGAGAGAGGCAGAGACATAGGCAGAGGGAGAAGCAGGCTCCATGCACCAGGAGCCCGACGTGGGATTCGATCCCGGGTCTCCAGGATCGCGCCCTGGGCCAAAGGCAGGCGCTAAATCGCTGCGCCACCCAGGGATCCCTGTATCTATTTATTTATAGATGAGTTCTGTCTTTCCATAGTAAAGTTTTCTGCTCCCCAAGGATACATTTAGAGAAATGTCTGAACAGCAGCTGCAATGGCATGTTTTCCACAGTGCCATGTCAGTTATGGACTTTGATGATGCTTCATTCTGCCTGTAGTTAGGGAAACTAATGTGGGCTCTAGGTAGAATTTTTGTTTTATTTCTCTGCCCTTCTCTGCTGGGTCTGTTATAGATAAAACAGATTCTGAGTGAAACTGTGTTTATGTTAATTTTTTTGTGAGTAATGTTTTTGATTTCTCTGTTAGAAGAAGATTCACCCTTTTCCATTGGGTGAGCTATTCAGTTTGAAATCTGAATAGTATTAGAAGTACATAAAGATGCAGAGGTGTATATAAATAGAAAACTATAGCATATACTATTTCTTATATGGATGTTACAGCTTAATTTTTTTAACATAACTAAAGCTGTTTTATGTATACTAATGATGCCGTCGATTTTTTTAAAAGCATTTTAATTAATATAAATATTCTGATAGGATTGATTATAAATATTTTCTTTTATTAGTGGCCAGGTGGGTTCTCGAAGTCCTTCTATGATTAGTAATGATTCTGAAACTTTGGAAGAGTGCATGGTGTGTTCAGATATGAAGAGAGATACTCTTTTTGGCCCATGTGGACATATTGCTACCTGTTCTTTATGTTCTCCACGAGTCAAGAAATGCCTCATCTGTAAAGAACAAGTTCAGTCCAGGACAAAGGTAATATATTTTTAATACAATAATTTATCATTTTATGAAGTTCTTTGAGACTATAAATAATAAATAAGATTATATGATGCCATATATTAAATTTCAGTCTTTCTAAGAATGATTTAAATACAAGAATGTATAATTTATATATTTATCAAGAGAACAGTTTTGAGTTTCCTTATTTAAGTGTAAACTATAGAAGTTAAAAATAAAATTGATCTACTCTTTTGCTGTCAAAGGCTCTTATAACCTAAAGATGTACTTAATTCCATTTTTTATTGTTTTTTTGAGTACATGGACTCATATTTGACCAGTTGTTTTGTTGTCGTCATTTGGGAAAATGTCACACATTTTGGATTTGTTTTATCACGGTGTTGTTTGTTTCTTTATTCTCTGTGTTTCCTGTAAATTGGAAGTTAGATCTAATGTCTTGTTTAGAGTCAGCTTAAACATTTTTGGCAAGAAATTCTCACAGATGATGCTACTCACTTTGTATTGTGTCCTACCAAGAGGCAAATAAAGTCTGATCATCCTGTTGTTAAAGCCAATTCTGTATCCACTCTGAACTTTTTATCTTGTCTGACTCTGCTTTTTGAGAAGTAGTATTTTCTGGGTTTCCGGTTTCATTCTTTTTCTGTGTAACTTAGTGCTTTATCATAACTGTACCATCTTACCCATTTGGTTTGTACTGAAATAATTGATTTTCCTTTTAGTTTTTTCGTATGTGTGGGTAAAATGAGATTCAAGTTTCTTACAAATGATTTCTTTTAAGGTGAGTAGTTTAAACCAGAAGATATGTTTGGTTTTTTTTGGTTTCACTTATGAAGTTTGTACTCTTTTTTTTATTCCTTTCTTTTTATTTGCTTTATTTTCCCCTGATGTTTCTTAAGCTATTCATTTACCTTCATTAATTAGAAAGGAGCTAGCATTAATTCTTATAATGAATTAGCTGACAGTAACTTAAAAGGTGTTATGTTGCCAGGACTTTTTACATTTTCATAGGGAACCTTCTAAGACTGGATGTTTTCTATGATCCAGAAGAAGAATTTTTGGCACAAGAAAAAGTACAGGGAAGTTATTTTTGGATAGGAGATCCTGGAGTAGCAGCATTAGGCACATAGCTGCTGAGTCCCTTTGTCAAGGTGGGAAGGGTGAACTCACACTTAACTGTCTGCAGGTACTCTGTTGGCATTTTATATGTGTTATATCTGTGTCATCTGTACTTAATTGATGAAGATCATTCTACTTGGTACTTATAATTTGATTTAGTTACCTGCTCACTAAACAACAGTTTAGGACTGCATCAGAAAGAATTTCAGCCATTCTCTTATTTTTCGATTGATCTGTATAATCTGCTGTTGGATTTGAAACTTTTTGTGTAGATTAAGCATTATTTCAACAAATCTTTATTGAGCACTTGCTTTATAGTCAAGAGTGAAGTGTATATAATTCCCTTCTTAAAAATATGTAATCTGCTGGTAAACTATGACTTAGATTAAAAGCTACTCTGCCATATAGGATGTTGTAGGTGCTTTAAGAGAGATGTAAAATGAGTTGAGAGCCCCACATTGCCTGCCAGCAGCAAAGTCTTAGATACAGAATAACTCCTTACTGGTCATCTAGTCCAGCTCTAGGATTCACAGTTGAAAAAACTGAAGCTCAGAGAAGCATACCCAGAATATTAAATGCAGGTCTCTTGATTCTTTTTTTTTTTTCTTTTTAGATTTTTAAAAAATTTATTTAGTCATAGAGACATAGAAAGAGAGAGAGAGTGGCAAGAGACACAGGCAGAGGGAGAAGCAGGCCCCATGCAGGGAACCCGATGTGGGACACTATCCCGGGTCTCCAGGATCACACCCCGGGCTGCAGGCGGCGCTAAACCGCTGCACCACCAGGGCTGCCCAGGTCTCTTGATTCTTAAGTCCTTTTCTTTCCCCTGTGTGATGATACACAGACATAATTTAGAAGTGTCTACAGAAGGAAGATTGATGCAACAGAGAGCTAGAGGGAGGAATATGCTGTCATTCCTTTTTAGACCACTTCTGAATTCCAAGAATTAGGGGGCTGTCACATTGACTTTCAAATTATGAAATTTTCAAACCTGGAGAAAAGTAGAAAAAGTAATATACCCACCAAATAGATCTGACAGGCTAGCTGCAGAGCCTTTGAATATAAAGAAATAGTGACCCCAAGTGGTTAAAGGATAATGAACATCTTCATTAAAGATGAAACAAATTACAAAACTAGTATTTAGAGAGGAAGGGGGAATAAACAAGCCTCATCACTTTAGAAATTAAAGAAATATAAATAAAAAATTATGAATTACCATTAACCGGAGGAGGGGCAAGATGGCGGAAGAGCAGGGTCCCCAAATCTCCTGTCCCCACCAAATTACCTAGATAACCTTCAAATCATCCTGAAAATCTACGAATTCGGCCTGAGATGTAAAGAGAGACCAGCTGGAACGCTACAGTGAGAAGAGTTCGCGCTTCTATCAAGGTAGGAAGACGGGGAAAAAGAAATAAAGACACAAAAGGCCTCCGAGGGGGAGGGGCCCCGCGAGGAGCCGGGCTGAGGCCGGGGCGAGTGTCCCCAGGACAGGAGAGCCCCGTCCCGGAGAAGCAGGAGCTGCACCAACCTTCCCGGGCGGGAAAGGGGCTCGCAGGGAGTTAGAGCAGGACCCAGGAGGGCGGGGATGCCCTCGGGCTCCCAGGGACACTAACAGACACCTGCGCCCCCGGAGAGTGCGCCGAGCTCCCTAAGGGCTGCAGCGCGCACGGAGCAGCTCGGGGGGGGGGGGGGGGGGGGGGCTCGGGCGGCGGCTCCGCGGAGGGGGCTGCGGGGCGGTAGCGCGAATCCAACAGCGCAGGCCCCGGAGCACAGGGCGCCGGGACACAGCCCAGGATCCCGCTTCCCCCCCGGGACAGGCAGAGGCCGGGAGGGCCCAGGACAGCGAGGATGCTCCTGCCCCGAGCTGAGCAGATCAGCGGCCCCGCCCCGGAGCCTCCAGGCCCTGCGGACGGAGAGCCGAGAGCCCCGAGCCCCGAGCCCCGAGCCCTGTAGTTCCTGGGGAGGCTGAATCCAGGCTTCCAGAGTTGCCATAGCAACTGCGGCTGTTCCTCCTGGGGCCTCACGGGGTAAACAACCCCCGCTGAGCCCTGCAGCAGGCAGGGGCAGAGCAGCTCCCCGAAGTGCTAACACCTGAAAATCAGCACAGCAGGCCCCTCCCCCAGAAGACCAGCTGGACGGACCAGTGATACTGCCCCGTGTTCCAATACAACTTGTTTTTGGCCACTCTGCACTGAGCAAAATGACTAGAAGGAAAACCTCACCTCAAAAGAAAGAATCAGAAACAGCCCTCTCTCCCACAGAGTTACAAAATCTGGATTACACTTTAATGTCAGAAAGCCAATTCAGAAGCACTATTATACAGCTACTGGTGGCTCTAGAAAAAAGCATTAAGGACTCACGAGACTTCATGACTGCAGAATTTAGATCCAATCAGGCAGAAATTAAAAATCAATTGAATGAGATGCAATCCAAACTAGAAGTCCTAACGACGAGGGTTAACGAGGTGGAAGAACGAGTGAGTGACATAGAAGACAAGTTAATGGCAAAGAGGGAAACTGAGGAAAAAAGAGACAAACAATTAAGGGACCATGAAGACAGATTAAGGGAAATAAATGACAGCCTAAGGAAGAAAAACCTACGTTTAATTGGGGTTCCCGAGGGCGCCGAAAGGGCCAGAGGGCCAGAATATGTATTTGAACAAATCCTAGCTGAAAACTTTCCCAATCTGGGAAGGGAAACAGGCATTCAGATCCAGGAAATAGAGAGATCCCCCCCCTAAAATCAATAAAAACCGTTCAACACCTCGACATTTAATAGTGAAGCTTGCAAATTCCAAAGATAAAGAGAAGATCCTTAAAGCAGCAAGAGACAAGAAGTCCCTGACTTTCATGGGGAGGAATATTAGGGTAACAGCAGACCTCTCCACAGAGACCTGGCAGGCCAGAAAGGGCTGGCAGGATATATTCAGGGTCCTAAATGAGAAGAACATGCAACCAAGAATACTTTATCCAGCAAGGCTCTCATTCAAAATGGAAGGAGAGATAAAGAGCTTCCAAGACAGGCAGGAACTGAAAGAATATGTGACCTCCAAACCAGCTCTGCAAGAAATTTTAAGGGGGACTCTTAAAATTCCCCTTTAAGAAGAAGTTCAGTGGAACAATCCACAAAAACAAGGACTAAATAGATATCATGATGACACTAAAACTCATATCTGTCAATAGTAACTCTGAACGTGAACGGGCTTAATGACCCCATCAAAAGGCGCAGGGTTTCAGACTGGATAAAAAAGCAGGACCCATCTATTTGCTGTCTACAAGAGACTCATTTTAGACGGAAGGACACCTACAACCTGAAAATAAAAGGGTGGAGAACCATTTACCATTCAAATGGTTCTCAAAATATACCCTAAAAACTATAGAACACTTCTGAAAGAAATTGAGGAAGACACAAAGAGATGGAAAAATATTCCATGCTCATGGATTGGCAGAATTAATATTGTGAAAATGTCAATGTTACCCAGGGCAATTTACACGTATAATGCAATCCCTATCAAAATACCATGGACTTTCTTCAGAGACTTAGAACAAATTATTTTAAGATTTGTGTGGAATCAGAAAAGACCCCAAACAGCCAGGGGAATTTTAAAAAAGAAAACCATATCTGGGGGCATCACAATGCCAGATTTCAGGTTGTACTACAAAGCTGTGGTCATCAAGACAGTGTGGTACTGGCACAAAAACAGACATATAGATCAATGGAACAGAACAGAGAACCCAGAAGTGGACCCTGAACTTTATGGTCAACTAATATACGATAAAGGAGGAAAGACGATCCACTGGAAGAAAGACAGTCTCTTCAATAAATGGTGCTGGGAAAATTGGACATCCACATGCAGAAGAATGAAACTGGACCACTCTCTTGCACCATACACAAAGATAAACTCAAAATAGATGAAAGATCTAAATGTGAGACAAGATTCCATGAAAATCCCAGAGGAGAACTCAGGCAACACCCTTTTTGAACTTGGCCACAGTAACCGGAGAAGGACAAACAGTGTATGTTCTCATTCATTTGGGGAATATGAATAATAGTGAAAGGGAATATAAGGGAAGGGAGAAGAAATGTGTGAGAAATATCAGAAAGGGAGACAGAACATAAAGACTTCTAACTCTGGGAAATGAACTAGGGGTGGTGGAGGGGGAGGAGGGCGGGGGGTGGGGGTGAATGGGTGACGGGCACTGAGGGGTACACTTGATGGGATGAGCACTGGGTGTTATTCTGTATGTTGGTAAATTGAACACCAATAAAAATTAATTTATATAAAAAAAAAATTTATGAGCCGTTATAATAAACATGCTTTACTTAGTAATTCCATTCCTGGGAATATAATCTGAGGGGGGAAAAAAATAACCTGAGGAAAAAATTCAAAGGGGAAAAAAGCTAAGGCTACAAAGATTTTCTTCATATATATTAGGGGATTTGGTAAGTAAATGACTGTTTAAATCAATTTGCTAGATTATTTTAAACTCTTTATTTACAATTGAGATGTATAAACAATTGCATTGGAAATCTTTTAAAGAAAAAAAAGGAAATCTTTTAAAGAAATAGCACATCATTATATAGAGAGGAGAAGAGAATTATCATGCATTGGACACTGATTTTATGTTTGATTTTGAAATAAACACTCCACACATAATATCTCATTTATCCTTTACTACCCCATGAAGAAAGGTTATTCTTTATCATTCAGATAAAAAGAGCTGTGGCCCAACAATATTTTAGATAATTTGTTATTATTGGAGCTGCAATTTGAATCCAGGAATACAAAGATCTCGACCAGCCACGTCTTAACGGTTTTCTCCTGTTACTCAGCTACAGAAATTCTATGTACATGCAAGGTATAAGTTAGGAAAGCCCATAGAGAGAGCATGTATGCAATACTTAAGTGAAATGATAGGTGAGTGATCCTTTTTGTACAGTAATATTAAATGGCGCAAGATATGGGTGAATGTAAATGTCAGTGTGTATCAGAAAGAAGGAGAACAGGTGACAGATGGATGTGAAGCAAGGGCAGTGGGACAGGATGGGGGTGAGAAAAGCCAAGAGCCAATGTTAAGAAATAGCTATGCACTCAACACTCAGATGAAGTGGAGATGAAGAGGAGGTAAAATTGAGGGAAATTCTGAACAGGTTGTGTAAGACTTGTGGCTTTAGAGATTAGGTAGAAAGAGCAGCCTAAAGCCATGATCTCCCACCAGCATGGGGGAACTGACCAAGTCCCGGAAAAGTTCCTCAGATGTAGATAGACAGAAAAATACCACTTGGGATCTAGCATTCTGTGAATCTGGCTGGGTTTTTTATTAATATTAGAAATCTAGCTTATCTTATTTTTATACTTTTTTTAATTTTATGTCGAAATAGTGTTTTTTGTTTTTTTTTTTTTTAATTAAAGTCTTTTCTGGTCTTTCTCACCACAAAGGAAATGAAGTTTTCTTTATCATTCTTTGGGACAGAGCGAGATCAACATTGACATAGGACCTGTGAAGGGCCAGGGTATATAAAGGTGGAAACATGAGTAACCAAGAGAGTAGAGGACAGAGGAGGAATGCATATTGCTTCCTGTGCTGAGACTGCTGCCTTATAGAGGAAATACACTTGGATACAAAATGCACTGTTAGAGTTATGAGATTTATCTGTAGATGTTCACACTTGTGGTATAATGTCTTTTTTGTAGATTGAAGAATGTGTGGTATGCTCTGACAAGAAAGCAGCTGTTCTTTTTCAACCCTGTGGACACATGTGTGCTTGTGAGAGTAAGTAGCCTAAACAAAACTTACTCAGTGTTTTTATAAAAATAGAAAATGAAACAAATTATAACTTGGAGGTTTTTTTTTTTTAATAACCTATGAATATAAAACATTGGTGGGCCTCTCCAGTACTTTCTGTGTCTTCCTCTGTACTATACGTATAATGTCACCTATGTCTCTCCTTGTTCTACCGATTCACATTTTGATTTCATATGAATCAGCACAAGATGATCTCTTCTCAAACACAATAGAAATTTATTTCCAAAAATGAATTTTGAAACCTTTAGTCTAGCCCTTTTCACATATAAAGTAGCACATCTTCATTTATCTTCACCGTGATATCGCCTCTTCTGCAACTTCCCCCTCCTACTGAATCACCTATAGCAACTATTTGGGGCTATAATGTCTGGCCTTGTTAACCTTTCTTCGTCTTTATGTCAGAAGAGCTGATAGGTCTCTTTGGGAGAATATATTAAAGTTCAAGTGATGTTTTAAAATATCTCTTAGGCCTTTGCTTTTTATATCTCCCCTTGTTCTTTTCAAATTCATGTACTGTTCAACATTTGCCTCTTTCTTTGTCTTTTTTTGTTTTTGTTTTTGTTTTAAGATTTTATTCATGAGAGACACACAGAGGCAGAGACGTAGGCAGAGAGAGAAGCAGGCTCTCTGTGGGGGGCTTGATGCGTGACTCCATCCTGAGCTCTGGGATCACACCCTGAGCCAAAGGCAGAAGCTCAACCACTGAGCCACTTAGGCACCCCACTTAACTCTTTCCTGTTATTTAACTCTGCTGTCACAGTGCAAAGACAACCATAGACAACATGTCAATGAAAGGCGGGACTGCTTTTCATTAAAACTTTACTTACAAAACAGGCATGGGGTAGGGGTGCCTGGATGGCTCAGTCTGTTAATCATGTAAGCATCTGACTCTTAATATCAGTTCAGGTCTCGATCTCAGGGTTGTAAGTTCAAGCCCCTGTGCCTAGGGCTGTACTTTGGGTGTGGAGCCTCCTGAAAAAAAAAATGAGCAAAAACAAGCACCTGATTGGGTTTGGTTTGTAGGCTATAGTTTGCTGGCCCTTGTCATGGACCTAACTGAGACCTACAGAGAATTAAAAAGCTAGTTATAATGAGTAGTTGATAATATTTTCAAGCCTTACTGCAGTACTTTCCCGGGAAGTTTCCCAAAGATTTTACATTGTCTTTGTATTTACATGTAACAAGAGTAGCAGCTTTTATTAAGTTCTGAACTCTTACCAGACATTTTTAAATAAAGATTTTATTTATTTGTTTGACAGAAAGAAAGTGAATAAGCAGGGGGAGCAGGGGAGGGAGAAAGGCTCCCCACTGATCAGAGGGCTTGATGTGGGTCTCAATCTAGAACCCTGGGATCATGACCTGAGATAAAAGCAGATACTTAACTGCCTGAGCCACCCAGGCGCCTCTAGACACTTTTTTTTTTTTTTAAGAGAGCATGACTGTCAAGGGAGGGGCAGAAGGAGAGAGAGAATCTTAAGCAGGCTCCACACCCAGCACGGATCCCAGTGTGGGGCTCGATCTCATCACCCTGAGATCATCACCTGAGCCGAAATCAAGAGTCAGACCCTTAACCGACTAAGCCACCCAGGCATCCCTTGTACCAGATATTTTAATCTCTTTTAGTGTTTCCTCATTGATCTTCAGAAAAACTGTAAGAAGTAGATTGTTTTCTCCATTGTACAGACACATTGTTAAACATTTATTTGCTTGGGAAGATAAAATTGAGGTGGAAAATGCCCCTCTTTCTAGGAATGTACAGTGAAGCACTTAGTCCATTACTTCCATCCCAATAATGTTAAGCAGAATATTGGAACCTTGAAGAGTATAAAATGTCCTTGACAGGACAGAGGAAGGAGAGGTTGTATTTGTTTTGGACAGAAGGAAGAAACATTTTATAGAAGAAATATAACAACCTAACTTAAAAGAATTTGAGATATTTGTGATTATGTATTGAGGCATTTAAATTAATCCTTTAAATTTAAGAAAAAAATCTGCCTTCAGATTGAAGACAAATCTCAAATGAGATTTCTACTCCTACCTAGTGCATCATGCATAAGCCAGCATCAGACCCATCTCTGTTTAGTCCTTGACATGAGATCAACCTTGATATTCCTTGTCTGTCCTAAACACTAGTAGGAGTATATGCCTTATCTTGTCCATGTCAGTGGTTTTGTGCCTTATTAAAGTTTAGTGTTTGTTCATAAATTATCCCTAGATACCTGTCACAGTTGTCATATATTTTCCATGTTTTTTAAATGATAAAAACACTTGGTACATAGACTAAGGAGTATACTTCTATAGTAAATGCTAATGGGAAAGGATATATTGAAGCACTATATGTTATTTTGTAATTAGCAACTTTAGATGTAGAATTAACAGTCCACAACCTGTAATTGTGCCTAGGTATTTCTTTTTTGGAATGAGAGAGCATTCCTCTGATATATAAATATCAGAAAGTCCATTTTGACACATTTTTTATATGTTCTTGATTGCTACATTAAAAAAGTAATTATTAAACCATTTCCTTATTAGATTACATCAACTTGATAGAGAAGGAAGAGAATTCTTCAACATGTTTTAGGAGTTTTAGAGACAAGCTATTCATAATAGAAAGTATGTTTAGAAAATAATGTGAGCAATTTTATAGTTCTTTATTAGCTAAACCTAAGAAAATTATCTCCCTCCTTTATATTCAACCTTAAGATCTTGAAGTATTTTATTTAAGAAAACACAAAAATCTCTTTAACAATTTATTCTAATGTATTAGAAAATGAAATTATTTTCATAACAGTGGGCTTCTCTCTTCTAGAGGTTGCCTGTGGAGAATATACATTCATAGGTTGATAACATTTTACAAAGGTAGAATCGTGTATGCATAGAATTTGTTTAATGTTTATCTCAGTGTGAAATTTGAGTTACAAAAATGAGCAGAGAAAGGCAACCCTCTTATTTGTTTTGTCTCTTATAAGAAGTATCCTATTGTTATTTTCCAGACTGTGCTAGCCTGATGAAAAAGTGTGTGCAGTGTCGGGCAGTAGTTGAACGAAGAGTGCCTTTCATTATGTGTTGTGGAGGGAAAAGTTCAGAAGATGCCAGTGATGACATCTGTAAGTGTATTCTCTTGAGCTTTTTCTTACTTCCTTCTCTTTGGAACTTCCATGAACATTTGTCTTACGTGTAGTACACCTTTGCCTTGTAAAGCACAAGGTATGTGACCTGAATCTACAGAGGAATGGGTGGGGTTTTGCTCTTGTTACAGGAAACTTGAAATTACATTTTTCTAGCTTGCATTATGATCATAGAACTATAAGCATTTATTTTTTAAGAAACTTTCCATGTATGATATAAAGAAAATCATTGTATTCTTGCTTAAAGAAAATATGCTCTTTTAAGATTAAATTTAGTGTATCTTGGCAGAACAGCATATTACAATTTTTTTTTCAGTTACACAAGTATTAACACATCATTCCTTTGTGTAGCAGGTTTTACCTAGTGCATGTCAGTATTCTATAGAATAGTATTTATTTGGGACAGAGTAACTGTACATATACTGAAGTATAACTCAAGAAGTAGAAAGGTGAAAAGTAAATTATTTACTTTCAACCTTTTTAATACAATAGCTGTATAAAAGTATTTTTCATCTTTGCTCTAGATACAAGCTTGGGTTGTATCTTTGATTTCTTTTTCTGTGTACACATGAGGAATAACTTTAGTGTAACCACTTTTGCTCAGGGCTTTTGGTCTTTATCACCAGTAGAGTTGAATAAAAATCCCAGGGACAAATTAACTAGAGTTAAAAAAGTAAAAATCTAGAGAGTAATAAAAGTTGGAAACAAAAAATCAAAACAAAACAAAACAAAAAACAAAAAAAAAGTTGGAAAAAAAAATTTCCCTCCATTTAGCAGACCCACTGATGGTCACAGCTTTCCTTGCATGGAGTTCCTCTTCTCCAATCAATAGCAAGGAGGGTTGGGCATAAAGGAAGAAGCCTAGGTTTTTGTGTGTTCTCATAAATGTCACCTAACAGACTTTATAATTACTGCTGCCAAAACTAGCTTAAAAATGCTGTGCTGCCTCCATCCTTGGGTTTGTGTACAACATGAGAACAGAGAAAACAAGCATAAAATGTATTTGTGAGCTTGCTAAAGGAACCAAGTAGAGCCTTGGAAAACCCAAACATCTGTGTGTTGATTGTTGTCTAGCTGAATTAAATATAAATAGAGAATAATGTGCAAATTTATTTCTTTCTGAAGACTATAAATGAAGGAGTATAATGTGTATGTATCTTATTGTTCATGAATGAGAAAAATTTTTAAGGAGGATTTTATTAATAGTCTTGTGTTTCTAATAAAGTGGTAATAATTTTAGAAATAAAAAATTCATTGATGTGTCAAAAAAGTCATAACATTAAAATATTTTACTCATATTGTAGCAAGTGGAAATATTCCAGTGTTACAAAAGGACAAGGATAATACCAATGTCAATGCTGATGTGCAAAAGCTGCAGCAGCAGTTACAGGACATTAAAGAGCAGGTAATAATGATTTCTTTATGGTAAATGATGATTCAAAGAATGAGATTTAATATTTTCCTGTAAAACTAACGTTTATGTAGTAAGTGAGGTTCATATTAGGATGTCAGTTATATATTTGAATATTTGCAAAAAGTATTATGATTTGAAGATTTATTTAATCAGGCACTTTCTAAAAGAAGAAATACACAGGTGACCAATAAACATGAAAAGTATTCAACCATATTAGTAATCAAGAAATGAAAATTGGGGCACCTGGCTGACTCATTTAGTAGAGCAGTTAGGACTCTTGGGGTCGTGAGTCCAGGCCCCATTTTGGGCATAGAACTTACATTAAAAAAGAAGAAGAAATGAAAACTAAAACTACAGTGAGGTGCCTTTTCTCACCTACCTGACAGCATGGAAAACTCAGCGTTAGAAATTGTCAATACAAAGTGTTAGAATACATAGCAGCATAACTCACACACTGCTGATGGGAATATAAATTACTAAAAATACTTTGGAAAAGTTTGTCATTATAATAGATAGTATAAGTAAGTAAGATATTGTTTTGGGATGCAAACTTGTAAAAAAAAAAGTACAGATGTGTTTAATCAAGCGTAGTAGTTTTCTTGGCTGGGATGGCTGGAAGGGAGCACGAGGAAGTTTTTTTATAGAGAGGTACATAAAGTGCTGATTACATACATCTGATCAGTTTGTGAACTGTTATCAAGCTGTACGTTTATGATTTGTGCACATTTCTGTATAGATGTGATACTTCAGTAGAAAGGAAAATATATTCTCTCTCTCTCTCTCTCTCTCTCTCTCTCTCTCTCTCACACACACACACACACACACACACACACACCACCCCATAAAGAAAAGCAAAGGAAAGAAGAATGCAATATTTAGAATAGTGGGTATCAGTGAGGGGTAGATGGAAAAGATTCGACAGGATATATGGAGGGGCTTCAAAAGAAAGGGTAGCATTCTATCCTTTAAACTTGTTCTTCATACTTATACATGCCAACAGATGTGCGCTTTTATCTACTCAATATTTAATAGCAGCAACAGTAAAATAAAGAAGTTAGTTAAAACTTTTTACATATATAGTAAGAAAGTCTGTCCCCCGCCTCCTCGTCCCCACTTTACCATTAGTCCCAGCAATTAAATCAGATCCAAAGAATTGAGAAGCACAGGGTATTATTTCTATAGTTTGGGTATCACATCAGTGTTGCCATACAGTTGTTAATCATCTCTCTTGTCTTTGTACTGAATTTATAAGAAAGTGACATAATAATGAGTCAGGATAACTAATGACCCTTGTGATATAAGTAATATGGGTAGATACAGTAATTTAGAATTAGACATGTATATTTACTAGGAATTTAAACACTCATCTGAAAAGATGACAACTCTGTGACTGAGCTAGGTTTCTTTTGAAATCTCGCACCAGTAAAACTTACTGTGTAATGAATAAGTAAAGATAAACATGGATTTTCCAGTTCTTATGTAGGAACATAAAAATAGGAACATATTTAGCTCATTCTAATATAAAATTAGAACATTTCAAAAATCTTGAAGCTCCTTAGAAACTCATTTCTTTTTCACTAAGATACTTATTGGAAGGTAAAACTGATTTTTGAATATATCTTCTGCAAAAAAAAAACCATTTCATCCCCTAATTGTGAATTAAAATTGTTCTTAAAGTGAACAGTGACAGCTTCTGAGCCTTACTATGGATCCTGAAAAATTCAGCTCTACCTTTATCCAAGTTTAGCACTCCAAAGAAGTGTCTTCTGTAAATAATCGTCATGACCATATTTCATTACTAAAATATTTAAACAGTCACAAGAAGATTCATTTTCTGAGGATTGATGGGATTTCTTACAGGGAATCCTTCAAGGTTACCAAGACAAAGCAGCTAAATAATCCTTTTTAAAATTTAAATCTCCAATCTTTTTATTACTCCAGTGTAATTTCACATAGTAATAAGTATATATTAATCTCAAAGAAACTTAACCTAGGCTGCATAGATATGTTTACTTTTGGAAATAAGAGCTATTAATTAACTGTATATAACTCGTGAAAATTTAATGCAAAAGAAACTATTTAAATGGCACTAGAAGGCACGTTTGGCTTTTTTCCCCCCAGAATATTTATTTATTTACTTATTTTGTATGTATTTTTTATTGGAGTTAAATATGCCAACATAATAGCATAACACCCAGTGCTTCGTTTGGCTTTTTTAAAATAAAAAAATATGTAATATTCTACAGCTTTGTTTCTCAAACTTTTAGATAAGTGTGAAAATTTAGAAGGCTGGGGTTTGTGCTCGCTTCAGCAGCACATGCACTAGAAGGCTGGGGTTAACAATAAAGATTACAGTTCTTTCCCCCTGCCCACCACAGTGATCTCCGGTTTTGTTGAAGTTGATCATTACATTTTCTTGTAGGCTTTAGGCCTAGTTTATTAATCTAGACCTCCTTTTTAAATTATTTCATTTCTGTGTTATTTGGGGAAAAGTATAATTTAGAACAAAGTATTGTGATATATTAAGGTAAAATATTTTTATAAAGCATAAAATGTTCTTTTGTGAATGAATATATGAGCTTTTTCTTAGGGTGTTTTTACAAAAGTATACCTAACATTCTTCTAATTTTTCTGAGTTCATGAGGTTACATTTATTAATATGTAACCAAGACTTATGGTTTTTAACATAAGGGGGTTCTACATTGAAAATTATCCAGTGAAGCATGTTTTGGAGTGAGAGCCCTGAGGCATAGGACCCCAGTTCACATTGTGGCCTGCTGTGGGGAAGGGTTTATTAGCCCCATGAAGTCTCAGTTTCATGTTTTTTGTTGTTGTTGTTGTTGTTTTAAGATTTATTTATTTATTCATGAGAGACACAGACTGAGAGAGAGAGGCAGAGACATAGGCAGAGGGAGAAACACGCTCCTTGTAGGGAGCCCCATGCAGGACTCAATCCTGGATCCTGGGATCAGGACCTGAACTGAAAGCAGGTGCCCAGCCGCGGAGCCACCCAGGCGTCCCAGTTTCCTTGTTTTTAAAGTAGGAATGACAATAGGGCTGAGATCGTATCATAGTGTGTGTCCTGTGGTTTTACGGACATCTCTACATTGCTCCCTCTCTCTCCAATAGTCCTGATAATACGGTCATAGTTTCATACAAGAATAGCATAGTACCCAGAGTTGGGGAATCTGACTTAGGCTGCAAGTGGCTGTTTTTATCCATTTCCTAGTAGATTTTGGCATTGGCATTTTTTGTTTTATATAGTATTTATTTGTAGTGCCTTTGATATAGTCCTGACAGTACAACCAATATTTCTATTTTATAGGGATGACATTGTAACTATTTAAAATTTTTTTAATTAAAAAAGTTTTAAAACTTTAGACTGACAAAAGATTGAAACAACAAAAGAAAATGTTACAAAGTTGTTACATGTCACAGTTTCAAAATATGAAATGTTTCAGCGTTTATTACTTTGTTATCTCACATTCCAGACCATGTGCCCTGTGTGTTTGGATCGGCTGAAGAATATGATTTTCCTATGTGGCCATGGAACATGCCAGCTCTGCGGAGACCGAATGAGTGAATGTCCTATTTGTCGCAAGGCTATTGAACGAAGGATTCTTTTGTATTAAGAACCTCAGTGTGTTTTCATAGCTGAAGTATTTGGTCACGAGCTCTTAGTAATCTATTAAGCTAGTTGGAGGGTCTAATGAATTGATTTTTAATACCATAGTTTTTTTCTAGAGTGTAATTAGACTGTAAATGTGCCAGAACAAAAAACCTCTATAAAACAGTGTTTGAAGTTGTGTTTTTTGTTTTTGGTTCTTTTAATTTGAAACATCAAATCCATGTAATTCATAGGCAATTTACTTGTCACTTCTAAGGGAAAAATCCTTTAAGGATCTCCTGTTTTTTGGTTTTTGTTGCATTTTTTCTTCTAGTTTATAAATTTGTTAGGCCTCAACAAATGTAGTTCCTTATGATCAGCTATCCTTCAATAATCATGATTTTACACAGTGGGTTGACATAGGTACTCAAAGCAGTCATACATCAAATGAATGGGGCAAGGCAAACCATTAGGTCACATGTATCATGTGACAAATTATAATACAGGTTTTACATGGTTAATATTGAAGAGAGGATTATCTTTTTAAGAAAAAAGTTCTGCAAATGACTGATTCTGAATTCTTTGAATGAAAGCATGAAATGAGAGTAGTGACTTTGCATTTAGCCTAATTTCTAGACTTAAAAGGAAAATTGTTTAACTTGAATCAAATCGCCAGTTTCAAGATTATTGACATGAAAAGGAAAAATAAGCAGTCATACTGGGGAACTGAGGTGGGGGAAGTGGCCAGTAAACGAGTACCTATTAACTGACCATTAAAAGTTGCCTTTCATACATATTAATTTATACACTGTTCTGTTTCCCAGCCTTTAAAAAAAAGTCTGTGAAAAGTATACCTCAGTTTTCCCTGTGGTTCCTTATCCAGGCTTGATCTGACCAGTGAAATAATGTTGCCCTATTTGGGTCTCTGAGGTTCCCATGTAACTTCTCTCATGTACTGAATAGTACCCACAGTGATCTGAGAAGGATAATGCATTGTCCCAAGGAAGCAATCTTTTTCTTGTCCTTATCTGTTCATTCTGACAGTGTTACTGGTTCTACCTTCATCATAAGCCCTACTTCTATTTTCTTTCAGTTGCTAAGGCTTGTAAAGAAAACACTCTCCTTATACCTACCTACATATTGAGGATGTTAGTTAAATTGCCAGTAGTATCCAAGACATAGTAAGTAACCTAATAATAAATACTTACTTTAGAGTGACCAGGACATTAACAGAAATATGTCTGATTATCTGTAGTTTGTTGTTGTTTTTTTTTTTTTTTAACTCAAACCGATTCTAGAGCATCGGATCTTTTCCCTCTGAATGAGTAGTCTTACTTTATCTAGGATGAATCTACATATAAATAAGTGTTTTGGGGTCATTGCTGCTAGATTATAAAAATATCACCTGTTTACAGTGGTGTCTACTATATACTATGTATAAGCTTATTCGTAAGGATGTAGTTATCTTGTTTATTTTTCCGTTCTTTGATTCTGGTTCTTTTTTTTTTTCTTTTTTTGTTTGGTTGGTTTTGTTTTGTTTTTTTACAACAACTCAATTTAAGAATATTCCTGGCAATTTAATGACTGCTGCCTTTGCAAGTCCTGATGAAAACAGTGGTGAGCTTTTGCTAACTCATTTTATAGTCTTGGTAATTCCATATCTGTGTTTAGCTGAATAACTTAGAATTTACAACAGTAAAATTTTTATAAATTTTAAATTTGAAAACTTATATGGATTCAGTTATCTAATAAAGGGCCACTGAGGCTATTTTTTAAGCCATATTTTAAAGTTATAGAAAGATAGAACATCTGACATGATGTTCACTTAAAGAAACAGACTATTTTCTTTTAGATTTGAAAATAGCAAAAGTCAGGATTTTTTTTTTCTTCTTCCATGCCATAGGCAGCCCATCTCTTTTCCACTAGATCAGTTGGAGAGGAGGGAACACCTGGCTGACTCATGCATGGTTCGGCCATCAAGTGAATTTTATGGTCTAGAGCTCTACTTTACTTAAGTCCTTTTTGTCTTAGGAGCTTGCAGTGCTTAAACTTACATCCCTAAAAGGTAATTTCCTTTTCCAGACTAGTTTGTATCTTCGACATTAAAAATACAATAACATAAACTATTACAAAAAATCATAAGGTCACTATGATTGCAATGCTGTGTACTTGTGAATTTTCTATATTTGTACCACTTTGAAATTTGTTTAATGAATAGATGTCTATTTGTGTTTCAAGTATCTGAAAAATTATTTTAAATTTATTTTGTGTTTTTGAGTGAGATTAAGATAAGAACTGAGTTAAGTGACTTTCTTCTAACTATGAAAATGCTACCTCTTATATGTCTCTCAGCAGCACTTTCCCAGTTAGGTATGTTTCCTTCTCATCAGCTCATTATCATGTGCCTCAGAAGAGCTTTTACTTTTCCTAGACTCATTAAAAAAACAAAAAAAAAAAAAACAAAAAACATAGCATTCATTCATTCGAAAAAGTATTTATTGGGCCTCAGAGGCTAGATACACAACATTGAAAAATGATCAGGATCTTAGCACACACAGAATCTATAGTGCAGCAGTTGTACATTTGAAGAAATCTGTAGTCAAGAAGGGATCCAAAGGTACTGATAACATTTCTTCCCAATGTTTCAGAAGAGTTGTCATTAAGTAGCATTTGGATTCCCTCTTTGCCCCTTCAGTCCTACCACATTTTCTCCTCTACTCTAAGACTATCAGCTTTGTTGCCTGAAACACATACACAACTTAACCAGATGGTGCTATTCTAATCGTTTTTGTTCACATAGTTTAACATTCATACTGCTTATACTATATATGTATTTAATTTTGTTGGGAGCAAAAAGGCTTTTCAAGAGATCATTTTGTATTAGTGTAAGAATAGTATATTAGACAAATGTTTAGCTTAGCTGGCCAAATCATAATTGGACAAGATGTTTGTAATTTTATACATTGCAAATTGACCAGCTGGTTACTGAGACATATAATTAATTAATGACGTTGAAAATACCATTCTTAAATTTGTATCTTTGATGGCTTTAGCCTGTAAGAGCATTTTAGCATATTGAAATGCATGCTGCTTTAAGATTTGTCCAATTCGAATTTCAAAGCTTGCTGGGTCATGTTCTTGTTTGTTATAAATTTTGAACCCTTTTCAGCTAGGAATTATTTACACTTACAAACTAAGAGACTTAGTGATGGGGTAGGATAGAGAGTAAGGAGTTGCTGTCAGTGTTTGAATTTAGAGAAAAAAGGGATTTGAGAAAATCATGTAGATTTCATCAAAGCAGTAAGCAGAGAGAGTATACTTGATTGAATAATAAAACAGGTCTTTCAACCAGTTTTTAATGTCATTTAATTGACAGTTGCTTTGTAAACTATATGGTTTAATATGTCTGGCTTTAAAAAAGTCCAAAGGAAAAAGCACCTATCCTGTCAGAGTGTCTAAAATGATATAGTAAAATAGTTTGTGTAAAAATTGAGATTTTGGAATAGAATTTTTTGTATTTTTTTATTGTGGTAGAGATGCAACATGAAATTTACCATCTTCACTATCTTTAAGTATATAGGTCAATAGTGTTAAGTATATTCATGTTGTTAAACAGCTATCTAGAACTTTCTCACCTTGCAGAATTCCATACCCGTTAACTCTCCTCCCCCCAGTTGAATAGAGTTTTCATTAAATGTAAATCAAGAAACAACTTGAATTATCTTAATTGTGTTTGCAAGATTTAAAGTCATGGTCAACCTTAAGTTCCTAAGATTGAGGGATGACAGAATTTATTCCCTTCCTCCCAGCTGTTATTAATCATAATTTGAGTTGGTATTAAATGTCTGTTAATTGGAAGGGTTTGTTACTTCGTTTGGAGCCAGAGGAGGGGGGAACACATTTTAGACATTAGAATCAGTTTTAAATTTGTAGTGAATTGGGAAGGTAATAGATTTTCACAGACTGTGTGCCTTGTTAAAAATGTCAGTTGTCTTTAAGTCTCCTTGAAACAGTCTCAAAATATTTTTTTCCTCTCAAAAACACAACCTAATTTTATTTGCTTGAATATTATGATAGGAATGCTTACTGATATTACTTGATAATTATATAATAGCCTTGGAACTTTAACATTTATATATACACACATATATAAAAAACTATAGCAGTATTAATAATCACAGTTGTACTTCTTTAAAACATTAAATTTGAGGAAAAACTATTTAATGCTGTCTCGTGTACATTGCTTTGCTATAGTGAGGGGGAAAACCCTTTAGATTGAGACTCAGTTTACTAATAAATGGTTAGTAGAGGATGAAACTAGAGTGTGAAAATATGAACGAGTTAGTGGAGCTGATGAATTAAAATCATAAGTTGCTACATTGGCATTTTCTACCTCCTTTTCTGTCAGAGTATTACTTTTCCAGCTTTTACTCTTTTTTGTGACTAAGGAAGAGATGAGAACCCAAGGTTCAAATTGGAATTTTTATGTTTTTGAGGATTTAAGCAGTAGGTACAGGAAGGGTGACTTGCCACATCAATTTTGCGTGTAAATCCATAACTACAGGTTATGACTGACATCTACAAAATGTGTAAGAAAGGTAATATTGCTGAATATTTTTGCTTTTCCTGTACAGTCTACATGACTTTGTTTCATAAACGTGACTTCTTTCCTCCAAAATGCAAAATGGTCATGTAATTTTCTATAAAATAAACAGGCCATTTTGTCTGAAATCTATAATTTCAGGAAGCTATTGGAAGTTCTGACTCAGGGCTTTGTAACAGTTTAAGCAATTGTTAATTATATTTTGGAAAATCCATCTACATAATTCTTCAGTGCCTTGAAAGAATTATTAACTTGGCAACACTACTAAAACTTTTTAGAAGACTGTCTTTAGTGTGGGTGCATCATCACACACACGTTTATAAGATGTATTGCTTAGCTTGTGTTAATAGCAATACTGCATGTGTGCTGGGTTTGGGTAATTCTTTAAAGGAAGTTTTCTAGATTTGCACTTGATATTTGTTTTTTTTTAAACTGATTATTTATGGCCATGACACTGTTACCAGAAAAGTAATTCTATAAGTCATTATGCAAAGTCATGTATAGGTAGCACCTGGGAAGAAGAGCTAGGGTTCATACAGTTTGCTATTTTAATATGAAAGGAGAGTCTGTTTGGTAAACACAGATTGTCTTCCTCTCATGAACAAAAGATCTTTTATTAAGTGATTTGGTTTAAAAATTTTTTTTTTAAGGAAATCATGGATTGCATGTTCTTCGTAATGCTAGTCTTATTTAGCCTGAATCCACAAAATTGTTCTGTTAATTTCAGTATGCTTGTCATCCTAAATACAGTATATTCAGTGTGATAGAAAGCAGTTTAAATGACTCATAGGAATGTTTTGCTTTGTATTTTTTCCAGTGTTTTTTAGCTCCCACTTGATTAAAGTCTTGCTCGTGAATATAGTTTCTGTATGGCAAATGATTCTTGCTTATTTAGCTTTTGTTAAAAAAAACACTTAGCAAGAGCTAAGCTTTTAAAAATAAGTGCAAACATTTACCATTAATAAAACTTACACTGTAATATTATATAGTGCTTTTCTCTGATCTTTTGAAAGTATTCATATGAATTTTGATTTTTAAGGTATTGAAAACATATCTCAATATATCAAACCTATTATCGGAAAGGAAATTACCATGTCTTTGAAAAACAAGGACATACATCTTCAACTCAACATAAGACATAGGTGCCCACATCTAGAAGGCTGTCATTACAGTTGTTTACATTTAAGGTACCTCTATCTAAAGGGCCAAAGAACCTTTTCATATTTTAACACTCACAGGATATTGTGAAAGTAGTCTCCATAGGATAAATTTGATAGAAAATCAGTCAACCAGTTAGGAAGACTCAATTTTTCTATATAAAGTTTATTCCTCTTCATAATTCAGATGTAGATTTCATTTTCAAAAGATAAACATTTTAAAGCAATGATTTCTTTGGCTTTTTTAGTGTTTTGTGACTAAATCAGTAATTGAATGGTTTGGAGTTATTTTTTTCAAGTTAATAGAAGCAATTATTTCTCATTGAGAGGTTGTCTGGTTCTAGTTCAAAAGATTCAGTATGTGTATCTGGAATGTTTAAGAAGGAAAACCATCTGAAACAAAATATTTTAATTGTTTATTTGAAAAAAGCATATGTATTCCAACTTTAAAATTGTGAATTTATTTTTGGATAACCTCTAACTGTATTTCTGTTGCTGTATAATTAGATGTTTCATGGCAATATTTTTTATTAAATTGAAACTGTATAGGTTTTTAAAATAAAGACATTTCAGAACGTCTGATTTATATTTTTTATCAAAATCTGATCATATTTTTTATTCATCCTTCACAGAAGTTCAAATTATTTGTTAGTCTTATAGTGTAGTATTTCCCAAATTTACGGACAGTGAAAACGTTTAAATGGTGCATTACAGAGTAGTGACAGTTTATAAGATAGAATGAAGGCATGGATTAAAGTAGGACACCAAAAATTATTTTCAGGTAATTGCTGAAGAATGATCATTTGACAAATAGTTTTTTTTTTCCCCTTTAAAACAAAACTAGTTGGTAAACTCACAGAAATAAACCTTATAAGGACAATATTATGAAAGGATAGGACAGATCCAGAACAGAGCCCATTGATCACTGAATAGGTGACATAGCAATGAAACTGTTAGGTAACGCTGCCTTTGCACTAATGCTCTAATCAAATGTAATGTGTTCATGCTTTAGGTTCCTCTTTATATCAGGTTCTTGCATTCTCAGATATGGCAGCTTTCTGAAAGGCTGATTTTTCGAGTCAAATATTCTTTACTTTTCATATATATTTAAGAGTATTACCCTCCCTTCTCTCTTCTTCCTTTCTACAGAACAATTAACATCTTAAGTGGAACATTGACCTACAGATTGGAAAAAGCTTTTACGGGTGATGCTAACTAACCCTGATTTAACAGGGAACTAGGGAAGCAACCAAATCAGAGAACCCTGACCATGGCCAAGCCATACGGAAGAAATACTGAGGTTCAAAAAGATTATATGCTCTCAGTATGTATGTATAGCACAAGAGTATTGTAGTGGTTTCCTATTGCAGCCATAAAAATTACCATGAATGTAGTGGCTTAAAACAACAGAAGCTTATGATCTTATGGCTCTGGAGGCCAGAGATCTGACAGAAAGCTAGTCAGAAAACCCCAAAATTCTTGGGGGTTCAAACAACACATTTCCAAATAACATGGGTCAAAGAAGTCTTAAGAGAAATTATAAAAATGTTTTGAACTAAATAATGAAAATGTTTTGAAAATACAATTGTCAAAATTTGTGGGATGCAATGAAAGCAGCTCAGAAGGCAATTTATAACATTGAATAGAAACATTAGGAAAAGAATTATAAATGGTTAATCTAAGCTTCCACCTTAGGAAACTAGAAAAAGAAGAGTAAACTAAATCCAAAGTAACCGGAAGAAAAGAAATAATAAAACAGCAAAAATCAGTGAAATTGAAGACAGGAGTTCAACAGAAAAATCAAGGAAACCAAAAGCTGATTCTTTGAAAAGATCAATAAAATTGATAAACCTCTAGGCAGGTTATCTAACAAAAAAAAGGACTCAAATTACTAGACTCATGGATATTAACAGGACAGTAAACAACTCTAGCCCACAAACTTGATAACTTAGATGAAATTGACCAATTCCTTAAAAGACAATATATACCAAAACACACACAAGGTGAAATAATCTGAATATACCTGTATCTATTAAACAAATTGATCAGAAAGGGAGACAAAACATAAAGACTCCTAACTCTGGGAAAGGAACTAGGGATGGTGGAAGGGGAGGAGGGTGGGGGGTGGGGTGAATGGGTGACGGGCACTGAGGGGGGTACTTGACGGGATGAGTACTGGATGTTATTCTGTATATTGGCAAATTGAACACCAACAAAAAATTATTATTAAAAAAATAATAATAATAAAAATAAATTTAATCAGGGCAGCCCGGGTGACTCAGCGGTTCAGTGCCACCTTCAGCCCCCAGGGCCTGATCCTGGAGACCCGGGATGGAGTCTGCTTCTCCCTCTGCCCATGTCTCTGCCCCCCCCCCCCCCCCCCCCGTCTCTCACGAATCTTAAAAAAAAAGAGAAATTGAATAATTAATTAATTGCCTTTCAAAACCAAAAGCAGCAGGCCCAGATGGATTCACTGGTGAATTTTAGCACAAACATTGAGGAGAGAAATTATACCAACTCTACAGTCTCTTCCAGAAAGTAGAAGCCAACATTTCCTTAATTAACTATCAAATCAGACAAAGACATTACAAGAAAGGAAAACTATAGGCCAATATCTCTCATGAACATATATTTAAAAATTTGCAACAAAATGTTAGCAAATTGAATCCAGTAGTATATAAATAAAAAGAATTATACACCAGTATACCAAGTGGGATTTATTCCAGATATACTGATTTGGTTCAACATTCAAAAATTAATGTAATCCGTCACTTCAACATGATAAAGAAAAATTATGACCAAATCAATAGAATGAGAAAAACCATTGGACAAAATCCCCATTTATGATACAAAGGAAAACTTATTATTAATGATGAAAATTCTCAAAATAGAAGAAAATTTGATGAAGAACTTCTATAAAAATCCTACGGCCGACATCAAATGTAATGGTGAGAAATTAGATGCTTTCCCCTTAAAGTTGGGAATGAGGGGGCACCTATTGTGGCTCAGTGGTCAAGCTTCTGTCTTCGGCTCTGGTCGTAATCCTGCTTCTCTCTCTGCCTAATGTCTCTCACGAAAAAAAAAAAGTTGGGAATGAAGCAAGGATTTCCACTCTTTACCACTCCTGGTCAGTGTTGTACTAAAGTCCTGGCGAAGGCAAGAATAAGGAAATAAAAGGTATGCAGATTGGAAAGGAAAAATTGAAACTATATTTGCAGATGACATGATTGTTTATGTAGAAATTTCCAAAGAATTGACAAAACTTGCGGAACTAATGAGTGTTGATACCCATAAAATAATTTGCTAGAATTTTGATTGAGACTTAAGATCAGTTGGGATGAAGTGAAATCTTAACAATATTGAGTCTTTATGAACATGGAATATTTCTCTATTTAGATTTTTTCTCTCCTGAGAGTCTTATACTTTCCCTCATATAGTTCTTGTACATATTTTCTTATA